CCAGCAGTTATGTTCCTGATTCTGGAGGGAGTGATCAGCGCTCAGCACAGTGAGGAGGATAGTGAACCCGGATTCACCAGCAGCTCTTTATAAGGACAAGGGAATAAAAGCCCTGCTGCCTCTATATTTAGATGGACTTTATTGGGCCTCTTGTCTTCATTTTTCTCCCATCTCCTCCTGTGCTGCTTCTGGTAGAAATCTCTCACCAGAGCCCTGTGGGCGGCCGGCCCTCCTCTCCATCGCAGCGAGGGAAGAGTGAGCCTGATAATGATCTGGGTGATAATAACAGAGCAGAGGAAACAAAGGAGCGATGGGGGAGAGGATGGAAGGAGGATGACAGAGAATCAGTGGGTGGTGAGAGAAGTGTTTTTCATTGTGTCTCCTTTCGCTCCTTAGTGACTATTATCCACAGTACTGGTGATGTTCACTATCCTCAAGCTTGGAGGAAGTCCTGAGAAAGAGGTATGGGGGCCGCATGGGCAGGAGAATGGCTACCAGCTGATGTCCCAGACAAACTGTATGGGTCTGTTCCAGTTCCTCTTGCTCCAGTTGACCAGTTGATACAGTTGATATGTTGAGTCTGAGATGTTGGAAATACAGTATGGGCGTGTGTGTATATATATGTATAGCCCTTGTATAGGTCCCCTATACCCCTGCTATCTGACCTTATCTCCAAAGCAAAGAATATTTATTAAGAGCCTTGACCTGTTCTGTCCAAATTTACTGCCAACGACAAGCAGCACTCTTTCGCGCTCTTATTCACCTCTCTCTCTTTCTTTCCTTCTTATCTTATGTTGCCTGGTGATTCTAACAAAACACTAAAATACCATTCCAGCATGCAGGAGAGTCTGCAACTGAAGTGAACAAGAGAACATGCATATTTAACTCCAGATGGGGGCTGGTTGTGGACTTGGCAAGACCTGAGCCCCTTGAAAGAAAAAGAGACTTTAAACAAACCTGGGCTGAGCTTCAGAGTATTAGCTACAGTAATGACACATTATAGAGACTTGTCTTACAGGTCTTGGGTGTAACAGCAGTCAAAACCTCATGCTTGTATTCAGCCCCTAATCCTGACTTCACCAAATTGTATCAGGATTAACAATTTTGCTTACTTCCTCCAAATACTCTGAACATAGTTACTAGATTTTTTCAATCTTAGCTCCGTCTTAGGTAGGGGCCTAAGTGCTAGCAGCTCTGATGTTGTGGGCTACTTTAGCACAGTGGTGCTTTGAGCTAAATGCTAGCATCAACATGTTAACATGGTGCTTGTTTGGCAGGTACTATTTACATGTTTGCCATTTTAGTTTAGTGTATTGATATGCTAAAATTTTGCTAACTAGCACTAAACACATTTATCATAGATCAAAGTACTGGACAAAATTAATTTTGTCCTGATAACAGATAAACAGTCATGGGGCCCACAAACGTTATTAGAATGCATCATCTGGGAACCATGAATATCTCTAAAATGTATTCTCATTCATATTCAGAGAAATATTGAATGTAAAACAACAAAGGCAGTAATAGAAGAAGTATTCAGATTCTGTTCTTAGGTAAAGGTTTCCACTACAGCAATGTAAAAGTACTGCATTGCAAGTAAAACTCCCACACTCAAAGTACTTTTTAAGTAAAAGCACTGTTATTGTTAGCTAAATGTAAATAAAGAATTAAAAGAAAAAAAAAACTTATTCTGCAGTAAATGGTCCTATAAATAACTGTATATATATGACAGACTGTTACTGACTCTGGAAATATTATTTTACCTTTCTGGACCTCAAACTGTTTTTGAAATGGAACTAGCTGATAAGTTTATAGGGACATGTCTCTTTGTTGGAACTACTAACGGCTCACTGACAACTGGCCACTGCTTTTTGTCAAGAGTCATAGCCCAAATATGGTGGAAATCACTGGTATAGTCATACACAGCTTATTGTATTTTATAGTCTTTATGTAAAAGTAACAGTTGTCAAATACATGTGGCGAAGTAAAAACACAACATCTATAAAGAGATACAAAAATGGAAATAGTCACTCAAGTAAAAAAAAACAAGTACCTTAAAAGTACTTAGTGACTTTCCACCGCTGCACAAATGTCATCCTCATGGTGGCACTGGTGGAAATGTCAGACGGCTAATAAAGGTCAGTGATTGTTGAGATATTTCAATGTGGACCAAAGTGGTGACCAACTAGCATGGCTATAAATGGCCCTGCAACTTACAGACAGGTCTTTTCAGACTGTGTTTGTTGCTTCTAATTCTGTAAGTGACTGGTTTGTCTGTGTCTGATTGTGCTTATCTTGTACAAAACACCCTAGAGACATGACAGGCTGGAGATGATGCTGAGCAAAGCAAGGTTTCATTTGCATATGAGCTGCCAAACCCCATGGTCCACACAAGAACAGCATCAACTGCCATGCAAATGTGAATCAAATAAGATTCAAAACAGGACCGAGCTAAAGGAGGGGTCAAAGAGATGACAACACGGGAGTGTTTTTGTGTATAGAAGTCCAAGACTGTCTCACCATTCATGTGTGCAGTTGTTTGGGCTTCTGACTTCAGGCTAAAGGTCTGTCAAGTTTTACCACAACAGCAACAGCAGACCTCTGGAGAAGGACAAACCATGACATCAGAATAGTGGAAGCAGCGAAGAAGACAATAGTTCTCTGTGCGGGAGAAGAGCCAAGGCGTGGCCTGGCCACACAGAGGACCCTCTCAGTGGATCAGCAGCTGTCTCAACCTCTGTCTGTATCTCTGCGACACACAGATTCAGTTCAACATGAAAGCTGACATAGCATTAGGACAAAGGATCAACAGATTTATGTTAAATCCCTTTACCCCTGTGTCGCTCCCTCTGTGTGCATGTGTCACCCTCTCTCTGTCCAAGCTCAGTTCTAGCTCAGGAACGCAGGGACGGAGGCGGAGTAGGAGGAGAGCCCCGGAGGAAGAAACATATTTCATACAAACTGACAAAACAATGAGCCAATGGACAGAAAGGATCTCACTGACAGGAGATCTGGGGTGAAAGCAGCGTAAACACACAACAACAGACTGTCTGCCCACATGAGAATGCTGTATTTACACTCTGTTTTGTCTTCTTGTAATGGCCTGAGGAGATGCAAAAAAAGCTTTCAGACATGCAGCTGCTGCATGAACAAGATACTTAAGCTCAGGTTGTTTACTGAGACCCTTCAGTGGAGAGGCCTTTTTTTCACACAGCCATAAAGGTTTATGTAGGACATGACAGAGAGGAGTGAAGCAGCTCACCACGTAGCTGAATTTCACATAGGGAGAGGAGAGAGAGCTGCTACATGATCGAGTGGAGCTGAGGCTGAAGTTAGAGCCGCGTGAACCCCTCAGGGAAACATCACCTAGGTTGTCAGAAGGAGCGTGGATGGCATTTAAAAAAATCTGCTCAATACAGGATGTGCAAACATCAGACAAGTGGCATTGAGCATGTATGAGCAGTGCAGTAACACAAAACCCACCTGCCCTTCAGATTAGGTCTAATGACAACAAATGCAACAAAAGCCCTGTGCAATACGCCCAGCCTCGAGGGGCAGCCGCCGCCGCCAGCTATTCAGCCTCGCTTTCACCTGTGAGAACGATTCAATAGGTCTGTGTGTTATTAAAAGCTTTCATACACACACGCGTTGATGGCATTATGAATCTGTGTAGAGGATGCTGGTCTAAACTGTAATATTGTACATGTCTGGCTAATTAAAAATAACCTGGTTGTTGAGGTTAGAAGTATTAAATGTGCTACCGTTATTAAAAAACTTTTTTAACCAACCATCTGTTATGTTAGTAGCATCGTGGTAGTCTCCTTCCTATACAGATGAAAACCCTGTCATTTTAAAATTCATAAATCATAAGGTAAAATCATGATAGCTGTTTCTTGTATAAAACAATCAGACATTTCTTGTTAAGATAAAAATATTTAAAGAAACCCATTGTGGATCTACTGACCAGGTGGTCATTAAAACTCATTGGGGACTTCTCAGTATATTTTGATTCATTTTTCACTGATTCTGCTGCGGTAGCTGCTGTAGCCATGTGATGGTGCGGTGGACAAACAGTTTGTCACACTACTGTGTTGTCCCTTGTCACATCCCTGGGGTTAGTGTAACTGCGATGGTGTGCCACTCATACACACAGTCGCCTGCTTTATCCTGGGATCAAGATCAGTGAGAATGTCTTCAAGTGAAGACTGAACACACATTACACACACACACAGGTAGTTGAGGTCACATCAAGCACAGGCCCTTTGCTCTGCTATAAATGTTGTTGTGAATGTTGCTGGCCTGGTCAGTCAAAGGACAATGACTGCCATCTAGTGGTGCCTCAGTAAAGAGGAATACTCTTTACAGTGATGGGAGGAGGTCATTTTTACTTGAAATAATGCCTCAGACAGGGGAAATGAGCTGGAACTAAAACAAATGCTTCCATCCACATCTCAAGATATTGATTTGAAAATGAAATGATGTGGCTTAATGATGCAGTAATAAAATGAAAAAATGGTAAAAGTATGACCTTTTTCCCTATTTTGCATATTTGCACAAAAAACTGATGCATTAACTGTATTCAAAGCTTCTGATTCTAATACTGGTGACCAGAGTTTCCTGAAGAACTCATCCTCTGCACTGACAAAAAACAATAACACACACACACACACACACACACACAACTGTACACACTACTTCTCTGATTTGTGTTTCATACATATTTAAAAAACTGCCTTTAAGTGGTACTAATTTATTTAAACATTCATGGGTATTGTTTTCACAACATTACAATGGCTAACAAAAAATAACAAAAAAATTTAAGCACAAATATACCTAAACAACTTGGAAATGCCCACACTTCACACACTACAATCTTGTTAAACACTCTATATCCTTTTGTAATGTCATGTAACTGTTGTCGTGTCTCCCATGTTCAGTACTGTTTTGTTAATGTGTTACTTTGTTTAAATTAAAAAAAAAAAAAAAAATATATATATATATATATATAAACAAAAGCTCAGTCATTGATGTGTACTGTTACAGATCATGTTAGCTTTCTGCTCTACCCCACATAAATCTACAAAACAAGTCCCCTCTCAAATCACGTACACCTGCATTAAACTGCATTAGCCATCATCACTAACCAGAAACAGCTGCTCTAGTGTGTGTCGACCTGTGGGGGAAGAGGCTTCCTCCAACAGTTCTTCTGGATAAAATCCATACACCTGCTGTTGCCTCCTCTACCCATCCAGTAATTTCAGGATGCTTTCCCTCTCCTTGAGTGCTTTCCAGGCCTGGTCCTTCTCCTTCTTGGTTGGAGTGCGTTTCTTCTGTCTGGCCGCCATAATTCGCCGAAATCCTTCCATCACCTCGTTATCAGACACCCTGACTCTCTGCCTCAGCTCCTGCTTTCGCATCTCCTCCTTTGCCATCCTGTGAGGCAGAAGCAAATCCAAAGCATATGTACAGCTGAAGTCAGAAGTTCACATACACTTAAGCTGTAGTCATTAAACCTGATTTTTTAACCACTCCACAGATGTCACATTAACAAACTATTGTTTTGTCAAGTTGGTTAGGATGTGCACTTTATACATGACACAATTTTTCCAACAGTTTACAGATTATGTCACTTATAATTCACTACATCACAGTACCAGTGGGTCAGAAGTTTACATGCACTCAGTTGACTGGGCCTTTAAACAGCTTGGAAAATTCCAGAAAATGATGTCATGGCTTTAGAAGCTTCTAATTGGCTAATTAACATCATTTGAGTCAATAGGACGTGGATCTGTGGATGTATTTTAAGGTCTAACTTCAAACTCAGTCTCTCTTCATTTGATATCATGGGAGAATCAAAAGAAATCAGCCAAGACCTCAGAAAAAGCACTGGACCTCCACAAGTCTGGTTCATCATTGGCAGCAATTTCCAAACACCTGAAGGTACCACGTTCATTAGAAACAAACAATACTACACACGTATAAACACCATGGGACAACGCAGCCATCATACCAATCAGGAAGGACACGTGTTCTGTCTCCTAGAGACGAACATTCTTTGGTCCAAACAGTACTAATCAATCCCAGAACAACAGCAAAGTGAAAACATGAGAGGAAACAGGTACCAAAGGATCTATATCCACAGTAAAACAAGTCCTATAGCGACATAACCTGAAAAGGCTGCTCAGCCAGGAAGGACTGGGGCACTTCACCAAATAGATGGCATCATGAGGAAGGAAGGTTATGTGGATATATTGAAGCAAGGAAGGAGGCCTCCAAACCTGACTCAGTTCCACCAGTTCTGTCTGGAACAGGCTCAGATTCCAGCAACTTATTGTGAGAAGCCTGTGGAAGGGATCCTGAAACGTTTGACCCAAGTTCAACAGTTTAATACTGACTGAGTGTATGTAAACTTCTGACCCATTGGGAATGTGGTGAGAGAAATAAAAGCTGAAATAAATCTCCTCTACTATTATTCTGACATTTCACATTCTTAAAATAAAGCAGTGATCCTAACTGATCTAAGACAGAGAGTGTTCATAGGATTAAATGTAGGGAGCTGTGAAAAACAGAGTTTAAATGTATTTGGCTAAGGTGTAAGTAAACTTCTGACTTCAACTGTAAGCAGCTGATCATGGAGAACACTTCAGGGTAGATGTGTTCACTGTTTGTGTTCTCACCGGAGCAGATCCTGTTTGCGGGTTCTGTTGTGAGCACTCAGGGCTTTGAGCTCTGCTTGTCTCTTTTGAAGCTCTGCCAGGACCTCATCCTCGGAGTCTCCTCCTGGTCCGGGTTTCTCCTCTGAGTCCAGCAGCCCCTGGGCTACCAGCTCCTCTTTGATCCGTGCCTCCAGGGAACGTGTATGTGGAACACTGGAGGGAGAAAAGAAAAAAAAAAAAAAAAAAAAAAAGATACAATATGACATGGAAGGTAAAACACTGTGGGTGGCAACTTGATCAGTAACACAATTCAGCGACTGCTGAATGAACCAAAGTTACAATCATCAGGTTTTCTCTTTAAGGTGTAGAGCAAGGTCTGAGACGACATGTACCATAACTAGTCGAGGAAGGAAACGTATGTAGAGAGGTTATATAAATGTACACACACAAGATAAACAAAGCTAAACAACATGCTTCTACCTTGCAAAGATCAATAAATGAAAACACTAACACTGCAAAGTGTTTATTAACCCATCTCAAACGTGGTGTCTGTGCTTTGTTGCCAAGGTACCGAGTCTGCTAACATACAGAACTGATGTTTACATTTCTGATGTCTCATAGACCCCGTTTAGATTTGGTTTTAAAATCCATCCTGGGCGATCGGATCACATGGACGGCGCTGAATGCAAGTCTAAAGAACCACCAAGGCGGATTGTGATCCGATCATTCAAACCACTTCCTGAGGTGGTCTGGGATGCATTTGACCACATATCTTTTGTAGTGTAAACACTAATGCGTCGTGATGCGTTCCTGAGAAGGATGTTAGGGGAAAGTATGTCATCAATGCAGGACATGGTGGTTGTTTTGGTGAACGAGCGCCAACACTCAAAAGAAAAAGAAATAGAGAGAAGTGTGTGATACAAATCTAACCACTGCCTCCTTCTTCTTCCTCGGTTTGGGAGACTACTGGCCCTTGTCTGGCAAAAGACTGACATAATAACTGCATGTGGACTTTTCATCATTAAGCGGAAGTGACACCGCAGTACCAAAATCTGAACACAAATGGTGTGCTGGACTCCTTGAAGACATGTCTATAGACAGGTGTGTACAGTGACGTGTCTCAGCTGTCCACCTGTGTACGGATCACCGAAATGCATTTTAAAAACCAAGTCTAAATGATGCCATACATTCATTAGGTGTCGCACAAATACCTAAAAGCTTTTCCTTGGCTTCGAGGAGATGTGCCAGCGACGTCGTTAGCATCTTTCCCTGAAATGTCTGGTATTGGAGAATCCTCCATGGGGGATATAATGTTCTCCTGGGACAAAAATCAAAAACAAATTTCCTTATTTATGGTTACATTTGTTTTCTCACAAAATCCTACATCTACAGCATACTGACCTCTATGAGGGCCTGGAGGAGACGCTGTGTGAGAGGACCGAAGGGACAGCTGTCCTCTGGTGACTCATGTTGGGACTCTGACTTTTTCAGCAGCGAGTCCACATCTACAGTAGATGAAAAGAAAGTATTCAGGTGGATGCATGGTTGTGCAGTAACTACAGTCTGCTGTGGTAAGACGAGGGGGCAAACCAGCCACTATGCATTCATTTTAAGGTCTTTCCTCACCTTTTGCATCCAGCTCAGACAGCGGTCCTCCCATGAGGCTCTTCTTCTTGTCGTTGGCTCGTGCTCCTTCCCTCTGCTCCTCTAGCAGATCCTCCTGAGCCCACCGCTGAGAGTAGTGTTTCCCTAGTGCCGGGACCTGCAGTTAAGACAGACGGTATTGAAACTCAACACACATTCAAACTCAATATAACACCCAAAGTTTTGGTCAGGCCCTGAGTGAAGGTGTGTGTATAACATAGCACCAAGTGCAAAGGACTTTTATGTCATACTTTGAAATACTCAGCTTCATCCTCTGGGGGTTTCAGAAGCTCTTCCAGCAACCTTATCTCTTCATTTGTGATATCGGCACAGTAGGGCTCGACTGAGGCCCAGAATCTGAAAACAAGAAGAACATTTGAAATGCAAAAAAGCCCTGCTAGAAAGAAACATTTATTTTACCCTAAAACAGACCTGCCTGAAACCAATCTGACTAATAAGTTAAAATCACAATTAGAAATTAGGTACAGAGAAATCATGTAGACAAGTCAAGTATAAACAGAACTGAGCTGTTGTTTCTGACCTGTTGGGAGCATCATTTTTGGGAGTGCGGGGAATGTCTTGTGGATCATCTGTAAATTCATATTCTGGGACTTTAGGCTGCAAGTTTTTGGATTTGGGTCTGCCAGGACCAGGACCTGGCCCATGACCACCTTTGCCATCCAACTTCTGCTTCTTTGGTTTATGGCGAGATGTGGCAGCGGGGTCTGGGTCTTTCCCCAGCTTCAGAAAACGCTTATCTCCCTTCTTGTCTTGCCAGTCTGTAAGGATCTGAAACACATAGTTCTGAGTCACCAGCCAGAAGTACATACATGTGAAGTGAAGATGAAAACCTCATGGGCACCACATAAACAAGTGAAGTGAATGGGATTATTCGCTCTTTCTCCTACCTGTCTCTGCTCCTCCAGGGCTCTGAGGCGGCGGCTGGCCGCGGACAGTAGCGTCTCCAGCTCCAGCTGCAGGGTGTCCAGCTCCTCGATGCCGATGCCATCGTCCTCTGAGCGGCCCAGCACAGCAGTGTAGCGAGGACACACCTTGACATGCTCGACGGGCTTGAAATCATAGTATTTCAGTGGGGGGCAGTCCTTCAACTCACTCATGATGCTGTGAGGCAGAGGCCTGGCCTGGCAGTACCTGGATAAACTGATGTCAGAACATAGGCAGGGTGGTTAGACATAAATGAGGAGTCATTTTTTTCATTGGTGTGCTGCTATGATTCCCACGCTGTCTCTCTCACTCTGTTTATTTATAGCTCTCTATCGCATGCAACGTATACCTATGCACACACACGTACACGCAGGTCGGCCCCAGAGTCAAGCTCGCTGGGCCCAAGCTGCCCAAATTACTTTAAAATTGTAAAACTGTCGCTATGCTCTCACAATGTCGCACAGTTTACATGCTGGACCTCTAGAATTACAAACGCTGAACGGCACAGAGCAAATGCACAGACATATATCTTTAAATGATTGAGAGCTACGATATTTACCGTCACTGAATGGCGTCCATGATGGGAAAAACCATTGTGATGAGAGGGGGGTGTGAAATACATTCAAATGAAATTCAGGCCTCTTTTCGAAAAGGTCACAATTTTAATAATGAATAACAAAATTGCTAACAAAATAAAAAATAACTAAAGTTTACAGAATTTAAACGAAAATGGAAATCATACAATATATGAAACCAAACTCGATGAGTTGTGACTTGATTAACCTTATGTTAGAATGACATCATCGGCACAAACCATATCATGTCAGGGCGCATTAAAATACATAATTTACCGCTAAAGTCGCAATTCAGTCGATGAATTGTGTTATATGTGTTTCCTCTATTGTCTTTTATTTACAACCAAGTTGCATAATATCGAAGTGACACAATAACCGAGCGACAATTTTCCTGTTCACAGAGCGGAATGGACGCATCCTTGGGTATGTTCGTTTTATAGAAAATACACACCACCTGGGCGGAGTAAGACGCGCAAACAACATCATTTATGGTGCTTGGAGAAATCGGCGTCCTCAAACGAAGAGCTAAATAAAAAGGAACGCACCCTTATATGTAGTCGACTATGTAGGATTTACGGAAGAAGAGTCCCAGGCGTGGCTGTGGAACTTCCGTCTTTACGGCTCGAAAATGGTGAGTCTCCTGCACTAAAATTCTCTTATATTTGATTATACAGCTATTTGTCTTCGCTAACTACATTTACATTTAAGGCGAGGTTAGCTAGCTAGCTCCGTGCTTCTCGGAGACGGGGTTTCTGGTTTGCTGGGATGAAATGGGAGCACGGGCATCTTTGACACGGTTTTCAGAAACTGAAGTGATTTCGCTGAGCTATGTTTTCCTCTTTGCCCCTTTTCTCCTCCACTGCGACGGATAACTCTACTGAAGGTCTGTCACTAGACAGTGGAACAGCTACGAACATCTTTGGTGTAGACAGAGTGATGTAGATAGGCGTACTTGGATGAAACTCGGTCAACCCCAAACCATGAATGCAAGCAAAAAACATTAATGTAGTAAGCATGATCCTCATTTTCATACAAATACCACGCTGTTTATTGTATACATCAATGCTCTATCTTGAAAATATAAGTGTGGCAGACTATAAGTGGGTTATTACTCAGCAGTGTACGCAGCATCCCTACTCACAGCTCAGTTGGGTTTCTTATCAGATTGACCCTGCTGACTGAGTCACCCTCACTAGACTGGGGGGCTCATTTTGCATGTATCTCGATCTAAATAAGAAACATCAACCAGCAAGATCTTTGCAGACACTGATCCTAATCCACTATGTCTGCAGACAGCAACTCTGCGCCCCTACTTAAATGCCGTGAAGGCCACCCTGCAGGCGGCCCTCTGCCTAGAGAACTTCTCATCTCAGGTGGTGGAGCGTCACAACAAGCCAGAGGTGGAGGTCAGGTATGTTTAATGGCATGTGTTTGGGGTTAGCAGTCTCGCTGCTTGTCCACCTGCTTTGCTTCACCTTAAGCTGTTTGCAGATCATTTTTGCTGCTGTCACACAAGTGTAGACTTGTGCAAACTTGCATAAGAAAATCTAGGAGGGGAAAAATGACACAAGCACAGGCAAGGAAGGGGACTTGCTGCAGCCTGTGTGTGGTTGTGTTCCCAAAGCAATGAGAGGATTTAGAATTGAAGTCACTTTAACATTTGAGGTTTTGTTAAGAGCCACATAGTCTAAATCACAGTGAACAGAACAGTTAAAACTGTGGGAGCTTGTTTTTACAGCTGTGTTTTGCTGTGGTTGCAGGAGCAGTAAGGAGCTGCTGCTTCAGCCTGTGGTGATCAGCCGCAATGACAAAGAGAAGGTCCTTATTGAGGGATCCATCAACTCTGTCAGAGTCAGCATTGGTGTCAAACAGGTGATTCAAATCAGCAGAGGTTTTGGTACTTTATTTATGAGCTATTAACTTTCACAGCCTGATGTGCATTTAAAAACCCTTCTGTCATATTTGACTGTAGGCTGATGAGATTGAGAAGATTCTTTGTCACAAGTTCATGCGCTTCATGATGATGAGGGCTGAGAACTTCTTCATTCTGAGGAGGAAACCAGTAGAGGTAAGAGACAAAGTGGGGGAGGAGTAACCTGGGCTGTATGTAACGGAATAAAAAAAAAATGAGTTACAGAAGAGGAATCAGTGCACAGTAAGACAGGAAGTATAAAGATGATGCATGAAGAGCACTAAACTTTTTAAATAGCAGACCTCATTTATGCACAGATGTTCAAAGAATGATTTGTAATAAACTTGCTGGAGGAGACACATTTGTAATCAGCACGTACAAAATAGCTCCATAAGTAGAACAGACATAAAATGCTACAAGTGACTTTTCCTTCCTGTCTCTTCAGGGATATGATATTAGCTTTTTGATTACCAACTTCCACACGGAGCAGATGTACAAACACAAACTGGTGGACTTTGTCATCCACTTCATGGAGGAGATCGACAAGGAGATCAGTGAGATGAAACTGTCTGTTAACGCCCGAGCTCGAATCGTCGCCGAGGAATTCCTAAAGAATGTAAGAAACTCGTTTTCTGTATTTTATTATTGGGTACATATGTTCTTTATTGTAAAAAAAACAAAATCCCACCATTGAAAATGACTGTTTCCTGTCTTTTCCACAGTTCTGATGACAGCGTTGTCCCTAGTCCCACACAAGCTGGATAACACTCCAAGGGCCAGTCAGCACAGGAGTGGAGACTAAAGGAGTGAACAGCCAATCAGTGAGGAGATAAGGAAAAGGACCAGCCTGGCAGTAACACCAGTCGCACCCGTCTTGAGTGTTTCCCTGTACACGTGAATATCAGCGACTGTATATATAAGATATTTACCAGTTTCATTTTCAGCCACTTAGAACAAATCCCCAGACAAAGGCGGGTCCTTAAGTATTAATGAAGCTGATAGTCACAAATACAGGGGCACCGAGGAGATGTCGTTGCAAATAAAAGGGTCAGGTTTTTGTATTTTGTCTATGCGAGTCTGTCTGTTCTGTGTCTTTTGTTGCAAATTTGTGTCCAAATTTCTCCATTCAAGAAACCTATGTTTGACAAAAGTAGTGTGTCTGGTGTGAAACCATAGGGAGCAAGAGCTATCTGTAAAGAAACCGCCAAAACCCCACATATGAAAATAATGAAAGATAATAAAACCCTGTTGTTTATACCTTTTGTCGTTTGTATTTAAATACTGTCAGTCAGTGTCAGTTATGGTTGGAGTTTGTGCTGCAGCTGTCACTATAAATGGAATTGTTCTGCTTCTGAGGAAGTTGTTTTTGACACATCTCGCATGCAGTTACTTCAGCTGTGAGAAAGAGGAAGTAATACATACACATCATCGACTGCATATGAACCCTTCTGTGGTGTTTGTTCACATTTACAGTGTAATCCCAAATTAACAGAAGGCTGTAGTTTTTGGAGAAGAAATTGGCATTTTTATAATATGATTAAAATATGTTGTGCCTTTACTCTTCAGGAGTATTTACTGGACATGCACGGTCTCCCACACAAAGTCACACACAAAGCTGCTGTGCAGGGTTGTACGGCTGCACTTTTAAGTAGCATTGGTTGAGGAACCTATTCACTAACAGATATAGTTATCTGGACACTCACCATCATGTATTGTCAGTGTTCCATCACAGGTCTCAGCACATTAATCGATATGAGAAATAATTATTAGTTCCAACCAATTCTGTGATCACAACATCTACAATACACATCAGAAGTCATGACAGGCAGTTTTGTAAAAAATAACCCGTTTTATTACAGTAGAGTTACTCATGACCCATGTCAACAGCAACAGCTTTGAGCTCCTGTTCAGTTTTTGCATTACCTTGTGCGTTCACACATGTTCTGTACATGTTTTAATTTCACTGATAGTCTGTGTGTAAAATGATTTACATAGCATCTATTTCATTGGTGTTGTACATGACACACATTATGTTTGTGCCTCCATCCAATATAAAATTTTAAGTGAGTGTTTTCAGCATAGAAAATCTCATATTTAATGACACTGCCTGGTCGTTTGTTCCTTAAGTTACCACTGCCCAAAAAAACATGGTTTAAAGTAGGTTTGTAACCTTCAGATTGCACATTACCACTAAAAACACCTTGGCATGTAACGACTGCACAATACGGCAACACATCAAACGTAGCATAAAGTCACATGATCAATTCATGAAACCACATGGTTAATACTGCTGTGTCAATACTGCTGCACAGTATCAACACACTGAAACCATACTAAGTGTAGTAAAAGACAGGAATCTGCTGTGACCCAAGTGTTGAAAACCTGCTAGGTGCAGGATCATTTGGACAAGCTGTGTTGAGCACCACATGTGAACAGAGACCCAAACACTCGTCTCATGTTCAGGCTGAGCTCCTCCAAAACCCTTTAAAGGAGTAATAATAATACAGACAGAGATAAGGTTGTGCTGAGAGAGAGATGTTTGCCAGAGGTGTTGAAGGAGGAAGCACATCATCCAGACAGTCACCAGTGTGAGCAGGTGAAGAAGAAAAAAGACGAGTCCTTTACGAGGATGAGAGAGAGCGAGAGGTTCAACTCCAACAGCAGCCTGTCAGAGATGAAGAGGGACGGTCTGCAGGGCGTCTTCAGGGGTTCGATGGATGTTCACATTCTAGAAAGAGGAGCGCAGCTGGGTCAGATCCCTTTTGTACACATAGCTAATGCATACACACACACACACACACAGTCAGTGTACCTTAGTGTGTTTGGCATGTGTCCTGTGGTTTTCAAGGTGGGTTTTAGTTTCTTGACTGCAGAGGGTTAGACCTCTGGTACAGTCCAGATGTTATGCCAGTTGATATGCTGCCAGATGTTTTAAACCAGCATTCAACAAACCTTTGTGACTTTATGTCAGTATTTTGAAATTTACTTCATGATTCAAACTTTTTCATGTTTAATCTGCTTACATCATGTGTAACACTTACACTTTAGGCATTTTACCATTATTTTTATTTCTACCAAAATGATTAACATTTTTAACAAAATCTACATTTTGGAATGACTCCCACCCCAAGCAGAAAGCACCGCGTGTGATGCACTGTTTTGTTCTGGTCGATGAATGGCAGCTCTTTGCATATGAATGAATGGGCAAAATCTCAACGCTTCCGTTTGCACAGCTGAGTAAAAAGCAGGAAGGGCCCTGCACTGAACATCTCGTCTGTAGATAGTAGAGATACTGTAGGAAGGACACGCCTAGTCTTGTTTAATCTCCAAGTACCGTAGTAAGAAATATGCAGCTCGACAGTCTAGATGTATTCTATGATACACTTTACCTCTGAGGTAAAGCATAAAACCCAAGGCCCTGACTTCCAATCACTAGAGAATAACACAACTTGCATGGCAAGCTTTCTAAAATGAAGCACGAGAAGAGCGTTGTGAGGATACATGAAACGGTTGAGTGGAGTTTATTTAGAAACAGTGAACAGAAAGATCTTCCCCTTCATTCTGATGAATGATACTGATCATCTGCAAGAATCTTCACATTATTGAACAAAAATCAACAGAACAAAGTATTTCTGTACTTCGAGGATTTTCATTAGACAGTGTTAGATGTCCTGAACCTAGAGACAAACTGAAATAGAATTAAGAGAAAATACATTTCTTAAAGATTAAAACAGTAATGGATTCGTATGTGCAAAATGTCAGAAAGCACAATATTGTTCTGTGTTGTGCAAATCTGTAAAAATAAGATTAGAGTTTTCCAGACTCCCCCTGACAGAAATATGAAGAGACACAGGTAAATATTAACACTGTTAAATCAGTTCAATAGACAAGATCAATGAGAAAAACTACACATGATCAGTGCTTCAGAGAAAAGGTGCAGGAGTGTCACTGCTTCACAGTCAGGATTACAGCATCCTTTCAAAACAAGGTCCTTTTCAGCCATTCTCCAAAAATGGGAGAATGTGCACAACACAAAATCAGTGGCATAGTCATCAAAAATTAGAAACTGGATTCCAGTCTGTTATTACCATCTTACAAGGTAACTTGAGGAAAATCAAGAGCAGAGACTAAATCAAAAGGAAGGTGAAGAAGAAAAGTGAGAGCTTGGTGATTTTCACAGGAACATTTGTGCATCTAGAAAGAATCTTTATTTGTGCATCTGAGCGGTAGTAAAGGGTAAAAGATGGAGGGGGCGGGGAGGGGGCTGGTATTGCTTCACTGGTGAGCTGGCACTGTTAGCAAAGCCTCCTCTGAAATCCGCGACACCTCAACGTTCTGTTTGTAAAAAAAAAAAACAAAAACAAAACAAAACAAAACAAATCACACACAAAGAAGGGGATCAAAACACAAAAGACATGAAATCTACTACACACACTGCTCAGACAGACGATTAGAAGTACGTTTCCCATGTGGTTCAGGTATTTGTCTCTGTCTTCATCAGTTGTGTGTTAGCAGCGCGAGTCAAAACGGATATAATCATGCATACATGCTTTGCTTTAAGCTTATCTAATGCTTAGAAATCTGAATTTCTCAGCTGCAAAACATGACAAAATGAAGATTATATGGGTCATTGACAATCACATAAAAACTCCTAACCTTACCTGTAAGAGTGAATAAATCATCCTAATTTTTAAACCTTACACAAAATCACATTTACCATATACACTACATATTTTCACTGCTGTACGTCCTTGTTTTTAAATACGTCCTGCCACAGCCAGCATTTGCACTGTGTCAGGTGTAAGTTCACTAAGAACTACTGGCTGTGTCACTACTCTTTGCTTAGCCACTTATCGACGTTCAGCATCGATGCCTGTAAGAAAGACGCCTGTTTATCTAAAGGGTGTTGTTCCTGTGCTGTTGAAACACAAATTGTGTCAGCGAAGACCCAGGACTGTTGTGCACCTTAGGACTTGTTTGCAGGAGGAATGAGACAAAATGACACCTGACACACTGAATCGCTTGGTGTCCTTAGTCCCTAAACATCTTTTTAAGTGTTGTGGAAAGGAACGGCTAAATGCGTCACTGTCCCAACTCTTGTGGAATGTGTTGCATCAGAATTGAAATGAGTGTTTATTTTGAACAAAGAATAAAGTTGATGACGTATCACATCAAATAATGTGCTGCTGTTTTGTTTTCAATGTAATACAGGACACAGATGGTTTACACATCACTATTTTCAGTTTTAATTTTGATTTTACATACCGTCCCAACTTTTTCTGATTTGGGGTTGTACAGTGTGTGTGTGTGTGTGTGTTCTTGTACTTGCTATATAGTGAGGACCAAAAATGTATTTTTTGCTACAGAGTGAAGACATTTTGGGTGGTCCTCACTTTCTGAAATGGCCTTTTGAGGGTTAGGATTTGGTTTTAGGGTTCAGATTAGAATTAGGCTTATGTTAGGCATTGAGTTCTGATGGTTAGGGTTAGGGGCTAGTGACTGCATTATGTCAATGAATGTCCTCCCAAAGATAGAAGTACATGTCTGTGTGTGTGTTTTATACCCACCTCTGGTCTTTCTCTATGTGTGTTGACTGCATCCACATTGAGGCAGATGGACTCCACTTTACAGCCTGAGCAGGCAGAGAGGTAGGGATATTAGTTCAGCTTGACTCATCGGCTGATTCGGTGGATGTAATATACACTAGGAGAACGGCCCTACCGTAGGCCACTGGGGTTAGCTTCAGCACTGTGTGCAGTGGACACTTCAGGTACGGCAGCTCCTCTGTGTGAACACAAACAGTTCATTGAACTACCACAATAAATAGGGAAGACTAGTTCCTGCATACAATTCCCACATGCCTCCGTGATCTATTATTTTTCTAGCAAACAAGAGTGTACTTTGTTGTGTATTCTGCATCTACAGTTTTGCCACAGTACTTCGGTCTACAACACAGAAACCAGGTCATCAGCTGGGAGTGAAACACATTCCTCTGGCTGAGCACTATGCAGGTCTGCCTCAGCTTTGTAGCAGACTGCGTCACATTGTAAGAACATTTTGGACAACATGTTATTCAGAATGTAGTTAGCACGTACTCCCTGTGCCTGCGTTGGTTTTCTCTGGGTACACCGGCTTCCTCACACAGTCCACAGACTCTAAACTGCCAGTAGGAGTGAGCGTGAGTGTGTGTGGTTGTTTGTCTACATGTCAGCCCTGTCCAGGGTGTACCCCACCTCGGTTGGGACTAGCTCCAGCCCCCCCGCAACCATATTCAGGAATATATAGATAGATAATATATGTACAGATAATGGATGGAGGTTATTCACAACAGGTTGTAAGTGATTTATGACAATAGCTATGTAACTAAAACCAAACATGCTGAGGTTATCGCTGAACTGTAGTTTCATGAAGTTACGGAAATATGTCATTTGTGGTATTCAATTATAAAACAAAGAGTACAAAGTCTGGCATTAGCACTCCCTCTTTATAATTTTGCTATCAAAGATGTAGACACAACAAGATGTCCTTGTGTGCAGAACACTGTGGCCTGCATCCTCTCTGCTGCGTACAAATATCAGGTCACCAGACAGACTAACATGGGAGCACACAGCAAACACAAAAATGTAAACTCACTCTCTCTGCTGTGGAGTTTGGACAATAGTTTAACCATTTAGTTAGTCCCTACACTTCTCATAACACTGTTCAACACCTTCCTAAAAGGTCCCCTAAACACAATCTGTGTGCATATGCATATGTTGTTTGTTTGGTGTGTATTTATGTCCTACAGCTCCCTGTTTAAGGACCCCTGCTCTACAGTAGCCCCTCCCAGGCTCCCTGGAGTTCGGCTGAAGGCCTGACCTGCTGTTTTGTCCAGGAAATACGCCAACAAGCAGCGCATGACAGCCTGGTGACAGAAGACCAGCACGTTCTCCTGCCTCTCCAGCTCCATGATGACGGGCTCTAACCGTTGCACCAGGTCCTCATAGGACTGAGTCAGATGAATCACAAGGAGAGGCAAATCAGATGCAGAGCATTACTGCAAACAGGTGCAGAATGGTGATTTAATGCGAGGCTGCTGACTGAGAATCATCATAGAAAGAGCCAGATTTATATTAATACATTATTTCTGAGAATATGTTTGGCTCATAACACATTCATACATTAACATCTAAAGTTAAAAAAACTACAAGAAAAGATGGCAAATCTGTAAATCAAAACTATTTAATCCCTCTTATTCACACACACTTTTGAATTATGAGTCCCAGGTAAACATCAATACAGCCTGTCTAGACCAACACTGGCTTTAACAAGATTCCTCAAAGCTCCGCATCAGCACTGTCCAGCCAGGTGGTCAATGCCCGTATCCATCTTCCTGTATGAGATTAAGGGTGAGCTAATGGAACGAAGCAAAGGTGAGAACAGACACACTCACTCACTTACACACACACACACCCACCAATGTGGAGTCTTTGTTTACTGTGATCTGGTGTTTAGCCAAATCTGTCTGAGGAGCAGAGGCCCATTAGCAGAGCAGCCATCTGGCTACAGTTTGATAGCGAGTGTGTGGTTATGTGTGTGTGTGTGTGTCTGTAGGAGGGTGTGTGCCATTATATGCACAAAGGAGGACCAATTCTGCATTGGGAATTTCAAACAGAGACCGTCAAACACTTTAACAGTCACACGACCGCCACACATCATTAGATGTTACATTTCAGCCACCAACCTCTCCTTTCGGGTAGCGATAGCGGTATTTGTCCTGGTCCCTCAGGGCGAACTCCAGAGGATAGTGCTCCTGGATCTCCTCATACGTCAGCTCCTCACACACACCCTGAAATTATATCACACACATTAAGCTCAGCTGAGACAAAAGACAGTAAATGGAGGTGCTCAGCATTCCAGAGAGCTCTACTTACGGCGTCAATCTCATTCAAGACCTTCCACTGTTCGTAGGGCACGCCGAGAGCCTCGGCTGTCTGGATGGTTCTCTTCATCTGACTGGTCCACACCTTCAGGTCTCTGATGCCCTGGGCCTGGATGAACTGGCCCAGCTTCTGAGCAAACTGCATGGAGGATGAAGAACCTTTAACAAACTCATCCAAGTCAGGTCAAAATAAATGCCCAGAAGCCATGCAGTATCTTTTGAGGAACAAGTCCGCTATACCTCCTTGCCCCTGGCTGTGAGGCCCGAGTCTCCTCCAATTCGACCCCTGGCATTGAGCTCGCTCTCTCCGTGGCGGCACAAGTAGATGGAGCGCGGCGTGATGTGGATGTTCATGAGGTAGTAGACGATCCGGCTCTGGATGTGGTCCAACACTCTGTTGACCAAGTACCGCTGACCCACGTCCATGATTTTAATGTAGGAGAGGTCCCTGAGAGAAGACCACAGACAGGAGACACCTTCTGTTCAACACTCTGTGAAGTCACTGAGCCAAAGCCAGTGGACAGGAGGGACAATCCACCTCACCTGTCCAGGACTTCATCCAGCGTCTCATAGGAGTTTTCATAACACTTAATCCTCATCATGAAGTCTTCCACGGCTTCCTCTGTGTTAGTGTTGGTGTAATCGGGGCTACCCAGCTTCACTTGCTACACAGAGAAACAGCAGAGGAGTGAGCACAGCACAGAGTCACGTTTACTTTGTCCCAAAAGACAAACATAGACACTCACCACTATGTTTTCCTGTATGACATCTGGGTCTTCACACACAGACTCCACGAAGAATACCTGACAGAAGAAGAGGAAGAGGAGCGGATCAGGCACAGTGTGACTGTGATCTCATGTTGTATCTAATCCCAGGACAGTGGTCCAACAAATCACCTTAAAGCCATTCTGCTCTGCAAACTTGATAATGGTTTCCCTTCTTTCTCTGGTGGTGTTTGTTGCATCGAACACCTGTACAACACAGGGCAGACTGTAAGGCCGGTGGACAGGAAGCTTAGGAACACTGCATCCAGCCAGCATCAAACATGTGCTATGACAATGAAAACTTGACCTACAGCAACTTGGCCTCTGTCTTCTGCGAGGTATTGCCGCACATCATTCAGCGCCGCTGAAGCACACTGTCTGTAAAGATTAAAGATAGCATCAGTCTTAAACGTCACATGCTTGGTGACTCATTTGATTTGGCAGTCAAAGGTAAAAAAAATCACTCTTACCGCCTGATCTTTAACCCCTCCTCGTTGTCCGGACGGAAGAACTCAAAGGACTTGTAGATTTTGACACACTTCCTCCTGTACTGGCCGACATTGAACTCTGCCAGAAAGACAGACAGAAGGACAGATGAGATAACCTTTCAATGAAGCTTCAAATCCAACAAACCCACACTGAATACGTTCACTCGATTCACTGGAGCTGATAGTCACAAGTCCTACCTCTGGTGGGCACCCCGATCCAGTTGAGATAGCGGGTCAGCTTCTTGGAGATGTAGGTCTTCCCCCTTGCAGGAAGGCCCACCGTCACAATCAGGGTGGGACAGTTGGTCATACATACTGGAAGCACAGAGGGAGAGGAAGAAGAGAGCTGCAGTCATGTGCTGGTCACAGATAACGCACAATGTAAAACCGATGCAACCCCAACTGCAACTATGCCTCCTCATCACTTTGAAAATCTGTCTTCATATAAAATTGTGTATTACAACATTTATAAAAATTGAATATTAACACTAGATTGTTTTATCTTCCACCAAGACAAAGTCACAACACGCCACCCCGAGGATGTTGTCAGTGAGGAGCAGAGGTCACAGGGGGGTGGGAATGTTTCAGACGAGTTGGGAAACACTGCACTTTAACTGTTCAAGACATCTGGAAGGCACACAGCAGCTAGTTTCCACACTGTGTGCGCCCGCTGCACAGATGACTGGGTTAGAGGGTGTACAGTTATGACATTCCCTGGCTGTAAAAGCTGCCAGACCAAGCCACAACAGTCTGTCCAAACAGGGCTGACATATTGTGCATTACAGTTTCTTTCACAACTACCTCCCTGGTGTTGCGTTAATCATTCTCTCAGCCAGGTTAGTTTTTCCACTCCACTTCGCTCCAGTTTATGATTTCATTGATATTTCAAAGTCTATTCGGGCCACAGTGAGGAGACATTGGACATACAGAGAAGTGACCACTGTGAAATGAGGCAGCTCATCCATATGGTTGCATGGATACGACCCAGGTTTACCCATAACCGGTGCTCGACCGGCCGCAGTGATGAGTGATGAGCACATCCCAGGTACGAGTCGTGGATCCTTACATGTGAAGCGGATGGCAGCGGCAGCAGCTCTGAACCATGTGGACTGTGGTCTCCGCCATTATAACAGTATTGACATCAAACTGAATGAAATTAATGCAGGGAGTGGTTTCGGAATGTTTACGTTACCTCGACGGCTCTCGTCGTCTGACGTTAATGCGAAAACCAAACCTCAGAAGAAAGAAGAGACAATGATACTCACTAAACTACACCACAGGTGAAATACGCACCCTTTCTCTGAGAAATGTGTGTTTCAGGAAGGCCATTTTTATACGGCATCCAAATCTTCTTCAGGGGGTTCTGGGTGAGTTCCCGTGGATTTGACGGCGTTCTGCCCTCCATTCCGTCTTGCGGTAAGTTGGAGGTATCCGCGGGGGAAGCACGGGGCCTTTCCCCGTGATGCAGATCTGAAAACGACCGGACTTTCATCCGCGATGCTCTACAATGACAGAGATGACCCGGTCTCTCTGCCCACTGCTCGCTCGCTCCCCTTATCTGCGTGCGCGCGCGCTGACATCACGTGGTCCGCTCTGATAACAGGATAAACCTATAGTCACCCGTAATAACGGCAGTATGGGTGCAACACGCATTCTGCTCTACCGTAATTGACACAAGCTATGCTTATCTCTGTCGTCGTCTTCCTTTCATTTAACGGCCCGTGCGTGCAGCCAACGTTAAGGTGCAATACCTTGATCCATTATGCTGGTGTTCTGTCCCTTCTCAAGAATGTTACCAATCTGTTATAACTCCCTGTTCCAAGAGTGAGAGTTATTTCTTACAATCCATGTCTTCTGTCTTTCAAAAGTTTCTCTTTCCACTGACATAAATCATGCTCTACCAGTGTTCACAAAGGCCAGCCTGTTAGATGTAAGGTCTTATTTTGTCTTGTGTGTCCCCAGTCTCGACGCTGTTACTATGTTTGCTTCCCTGGTGTTTCTAACCACTGCTCTCACATTTCCCACTTCTTTCTGAGTTGAATAAAGATGTTGCCATCTCTTTTCCCCATCCATTTATCTTGCCTTTCTTTAACAGTATTATTCCCCTTGCTTCAACTTTGTTAAATTAATCTTCCATGGTGACTTATTTCCTGCTTGACTGCTTCCTTTGCTAGTGTATCTGCCAGTTCAGTTCCCCTGGTTTCCTTATGAGCTGCTACTCACATAAATGTTATTTTCATAGTCTGAAGTTTCAAATATTTAACTAATAGTCCTGTCTACTCTGGGATGAAAATGATTTTCTAGATCATAAGGCTGAACTTGAATCACTGCACAAAATAACCTTGAGTGGTTTGACCTGTTATACCTGTAAAGCTGCTAGCGTTGCTGGCAGTTCAATTTTAAACTGCAATGTGAGCGGTTGTTCTTTTAGTGACTACTTTCAAGGCTGGAACTGTGAATGTAAATGCACCTAATTTTACTGAAGGTATCCCAAAAGGTGTGTGTGTGTTTACATTAATATCATAGAAATAAACTTGTTAAAATGTTCTTACAGACAGTATGACTTTACCCCTGTGCTATGTCCATGAGATGGCAGCGTTGCTCGCTCTCTGTGCTTGTGTTGACCCAGGAATGTCCCCTATAAGTGTATGAAACAGCTATAATGCAATCCAGCTCAGCAGCTCTGTGATAAAGCCTATATTTCTTTGGTTGCAATGCTTATAACTTATAGTTTTTGTTGAAAAAAAAAAAAAAACAAGTAAAACGGTGTTTCCAGTATTTTGGCCATGAAAGGTAAGCAAAATACCATTCAATATAACGTAGTCCAGTGCAATTTCTCTGTTACATTGACTTCACAAATGACCACAGAGATAAATCCACTATTCACTGACAGTGTCAACAAAGATTAAACAGTATCAGCTTTACAAAGACAGAATTTTCTGCAGAGCATTTGTTTTGGATTGAATACGTCTACATTACACAGGTAATAAAGTGGTAAGTCACTGTACATTTTAAGGTGTGTTCATCAGTGATCTACCTGATGCACTGGTTATAATAAGGCTTAGAGTAAGTCTTGGTGGTGGAGCAACAGGGTCTGTGACCTAATTATGATGGAATGGAGGTTTTCTATTTAAAAAGCTCCTTCTCTGTCTCTCAAATTCCTGGACTGTTAGTAGACTATAATATATGCCATCAGATCCACAAATAGGCTAACTAACTAAAGCATATATTTGTAGCTTTTTCCAGTTGTCTTATGTTCCAGTGCAAGGGTTTTGACAGCCATGCATGTGGCAAACGCTGAATATTATCAGACAGTTAGTCACTATTGTTTGATGGGCTATTTAAAGTTCCTGATCTAACCTGGATAAAGCTTGGGAAGCCTATGAGAAAACAGCAGCAGGTACCCATTCACGTGCCTTGCATGAAATATGTCACAGAATTTTTTTTAGCAAGGTTAAATGCAGTAGCTATGCTGCACACTGTACACATGAACAGGAAATAGATCTGAGCTCCCCCTCCTCGTCCTCGCAGCTGCAGGCTCTGATTGCAGCTAACAGCTTTAGCGTGTACTATACCGGACAAGTCATCTCCAAATATAGCACGTTGACATTGCACTCGGCTGTAAACCAGCATTCAGCTTGCAGAGAGACCGCTTCAGCTCATAAACCGCCATTCACACACAACTGTTTTGTACGGCATTGCAACGGGAGCCGTGCAATCATACACAACAGCCATAAACACAACCTACAGTCAGAAAACGAAAACAACATCAAACCTCTGAACAGCATCTCGACCGTGATCCTTGTCTAGAAAATGAAATCAGAATGTCCAAATGAGATTTTAACTTGACAGATCAGCTTCAGTGCACACGGAACCTTTAGACTGGTTTTATGCATTTCACCAGCAGCCACAAAAACATCCTCGGCCATAATGCAACATCTGTATTACAGCATAACTGATGCTGTTACAAATGAGGTTGGTTACTATGAAAAACCAAAGCCTGTCGCCTCTTGCTGTTATGTAGGGTAAAGGTGACAGCGCATCGACTCTTGTTTACGTCCTCAATGTCTGCTCGACATGCCCCTCGCTGTCATCCGCTTAGAGATGCACAATTTAAACTCCACCATGCACAGATCTATCGCAGCCTTTATAAAACCATGTCTTTTACCTGCTCTGCCTTTGTTATGTGTGAAGTTGGGTCTGCTGGAGCAGCCTCTCATCATGGGCGTCTGTCTGATGGAGCGCAGTGCCTCGCGGTGTGTAGACTATATGCGTCCAACAGCAGCCTGCTGATGCTCGCTGTACACACACCCAGTATGTATGTGTGGGACCTCAGCGAGGCGTTCATCAAAACTAGACGTAGTGTAATGAGGTAGAAGCCTACCTGGCCCCTGCCCCCTCCCTACACCCCATCCAGAATCTGCTGGTAAACGTCCTCCCCCGTCGTTTCAATGACACAGATGGTTACATTTAGGATATTACAGACAATACAGGAAATGTTACATCATATACAGGCTGACAGAGACAGCACGAGGCTAGTTGTACCTTAACGTCATGAATTCAACATTAACATTCAGCATTAAAATCTCAGATAGTAAAACTTAGAGTAATAGGACTATTCTGTACAGAATGCACCTTCAGTAATACAATAAAATAGCACAAACCATATTGATGTCACATATTTACCTATCGATGTAAAGCATAGGTCCATAACTGGCAAAGTCTTCCAGGATCTTGCAGAAGACCTATTCATGCCACTTTGAACTTTATTAAAATATAACAACTTGGGCTAATTAGGTTTTTGTTACACAAATGTACAGTCACTTTAAAGTGGCTCTGTTGCTTTGAAACTGAAAGCAAATCTCTCCAAACATGTTTGAACTAATTGCCTAATAATACAAATTGATTGCATAACTGTGCACCTCCTTATGACACATGGCTGGTGCAACCTGTTGATTTGAGATGTTTTTCTGTGATGAACACAGTGAGTTTGTGGAATCAAGGTGTGACAAGGGATTATGAGGATAAAGCAGCAGTCCAAACAAACCTTTTAGAGAAGTTTATCAGGGATTATTGTCAAGGAGTATGGTCAGCCATTAAATACTGGGAAGAACGTAGCACTGAGAGGCAGACAGTGATGGAAACAAACAGGAGGCCCGTGGACACCAGAGATAGTGGATATTGATTTTCACTTTGGTATTAAAAAGTAAGGTTTGCATTTACAGTAAGTGTGTCTGATAAAACCCTTTACTCCACTGATTTAATCACCAGGATGGACTGTGTTGTTTCCCACATACTGTTATGATGATTGTGAAATCACTGGATTTTATGAGATTAGGGTCAGAAAATGTTATAGAGCCTGAAGAAAATGCATGGCATGGCCTGATACCCCACTTTGGGGCCAATTGATGGGTCAAGCATCATTTAACCTGAATATGGAGCTTCCATAGGAATGCTCACCTATTCTTTGGTGCAGTTAATTGTGTAGAACTGTGTAGAACCAGAAACATAACAAAGACCCAGGAGAAGCATAAACCCAAACACAGGCACTAACTTGCAGCACTGTAACGGTCTGGAGATAATAAATGCATCACGTGGCTGTCTGTAAGGGCTTGAGGCTATTTCAGTGGCAGTAATGATACACTTATCAGCAGAATATAATAATAACAATGCTAACTGCCAAGCACAGATCCTGTGACTGCATATCTGTGAATTAATGAAACACTCTCACACTGAAACACACAAAAAGCAGTTGAGGGAGAGAGGGGCACAAATGGTTAAAGGTCACATGACTGACCTTCAACACATTCCTCCCTAAAGGGCAAAGTGATTGACCTCCACATATTCCCTTCTGCATGCCTCACACCCGAAACACTAGAAACTCTGGCACCATGTGACACACACTCAATGTATAGACCTGTCTCACTGTGATTTATCACAGGGCCTAACACATTTTACATAAATAGTCCTGTAAGGCTGACGCCAGACTAATATTTCTGCCAAATTTACTTGGGCTTCATCAAAACCTTTTGCCGTTTTTTCATAACTCTACCATAAATTTAAGGATAAAATGCCATGTAAATAAAATGAAAATAGCTTTATATGAGCATTCAAAATTGAAAGTACATACGTGCGTCATGCTACAACCCACATGTGGATAGTTCAGACCCCTTTCTTCTTTCTGAGAGGGATGTGTCTTTAATCAGGATATACTGTCTTTGACTGTAGAAGCACTAACATAAAGACATGGCTTCTGCACAAGCCCGCTCTGTGCCTCTTGCACTGAAGCTTCATGAGCAAGATGATATCAGTTTTTTTAATCAGTCAAACTTTCAGAAAAAAATAAAAGCTGCTGAAAACATATCCCACTGTCTCATGTGAATTGTGCCACATGACTAAAACAAACAACTGAGCTCTGCCCTTTTTTGTCTTCTGGCGTCACTTTTTGTGTTAATGCCAGTCTGTCTGGTGTTGGTAAACCACTCCAGGTTTTGTGAATTCGTGGAATTACACGAGTAGGAAGAGCACAAGACACTGTTATGTCAACACCACATGGTTTAAGCATAACTGGGGTAATGCTCAACAAAATGACTAACAATGGGAAAATGTTTATCACTGCCTCCCTGTGCGAAAACATTTCATTTGTAACGTACTGTGAAATCTCACCTACAAACACTGATGACTGTCTTATTCTGAGGAATTATAAATTAATTCTCATTGGGCCACACCTAATAATGGCAGACATCTTGTATTTACAGCAGGAAAGCCACCGTTTTTATGAGAAGCTTTCCCACAACTCACCCCCTAAATACTCCAGAGGGACCATCTGATTAAAGTGAGGGGGGAGTACTTATCATATAACGTAAACATAATAACGGTGACCTTTCTGCTACATCACTGACACCAAGTCAGATGGCTGTGTCCCAAATTACTGCTCAGCTGCTGCTAACTATAGCACAAAGCCTGAAAGGCACACATACAAAAACAATAGTTCCATGGAAAAAGCGTCTTGCACATAAACACTCCTGCTTGATTTAAAAAGTTTTATTTACAACCACTGGGACAAAGGCAGTCTCTATTATTGCAGGCTTAACTGTCATGACCATGTTTTGACATGAAGCAAAGCTGTGGCCACTACTTACTGGAAGCATCTTACTCAACTCCCAACACCTCTCACACACCCCCTTTTCTCAAGAAAAGTATCATATTCCATCCATGATGCATAACCATCCATTACCCCACTGCTGGTAACATAAAGCTCTCATGCTGACAGGACACGGCAGGCAGACATGTGCGCTGCCTGAGGACAATATATCACTTGATAGCGTGAAGCCATTTTATTGTCGCTTTAATTAAAAGTACTCCCTCAGGTTGAGCTGAACGTCATTATGGAGGCTACATTTTATTGACAAGACAGTGTCAGACTTTGCTTTAGCCCCTAAAAGGAAGGCAGACAGAATTAAGACAATACAGGTGATGGTGAGTGTTCTAGTTTCACAGGCTGTTGGCTTGTCTGTCTGTGTGTCATCTGTACACTAGTGCATCATTAGCTCAAACAGGCCTCCAACAGGCAACCTAGCATCCAAATAGACAAAACATTACCACTACAAATACTTCATGTCTGCACACAGGATCTAAAACTGACATACATACAGGTAGTAATTAAAAACAGACAGGCCTGCACTGAGCAGAGCTGTTGATTTCTATCACTCACAGGAGACACACTTCATGTCTTATTATGTCCTATAAATGTCCAGCTCTGACTTTGCTGTTGTCCCTTTACAAGAACGCATCCTCAACGTCCAGTGTCTCAAGAGTCCCCAGCTGCTCCCTAAACGATCCTCTCCAAATTTATTTCTCCTCCCTTCTGGGTCTCACTGACTTTGGCAGACCGTGGACCCGCTTTTGGCCCCTGCAGCAGCCTTCTTACGTCTCTTGTTGAGCAGGGGGTTGCTGGAAGTATCAAGATCCTTGATCTTCACCTGGTCGTAGTCCACACGCATGGTCGCTAAAGCGCTGGTCAGCTCTTCCTGTGAGAGACAGCACAGCAGATCAGGTGTAGCAGTGTGTTATTCCACTGAAGACTACTTCAGCTACTACAAAGGACAGAGAACATACTACATAACAAACTGGAGCTTCAACAGTTTGCAAAGTTACTACTGATAAGTTTCTACATCCAAGAGAGTTGAACGTACCAGTGCACATGTTTAAAGCAAAAGTTTTAGGAAATATGCTTGTTTGCTTTCTTAAGAGTTACATGAGAAGCTCAGTACTGATCTCATGTCTGTACAGTAAATATGAAACCAAAGCAAATAGCCAGTGGCTTAGTTTAGCATAAAATGGGCAACAAACTAGACGATCTCTTGGCCAGGAGCTTCCTCTAATCTCCACTGGTTACTTGAGCTTGGGACATAACCCCTCATAGAAACTACAACTTGCCTTTGCCCACTGGTTTTGCACGGATTATGATGAGATATAACATGTTAAGGAACATTAGAGGTGCTGATAGGTGCATTTTATTAACTTTGGACAGATCCAGGCTGTGTGGAGTCTTTATGCTAAGCTAAGACAACCGACTGCTGGCCTTATATTTAACATGCACACTTGAGAATGTATCAGTTTCTTCAGTACTCAGCAAGAAAGCAAAAAAGTGTCAAATGTCAAACTATTCCTTTAAGGGCTGTTCCGTAGACAGTGATTTATGGTAAAATAGACAAAGGTGGAAAGCAGAAAATCCTGTCTGGGAACATTTTTATGAACTAGGGAAGTGTCATTACTTGTAGAGGCCAAAAGACGCAGGACAAGAAACAAGCCTCAGACTAAACTGTCATAGGCCTGGTCTTCACGCTAGGGCTGAGAGCTATAGTCCTGAAGATATTAACCCTCAGACTCTTCATCCTCCTCCTCCTCTTTTTTTAGAGTGTAACCTCTTGTTTTTATGTTAAGGAGTGTAACCCGCGAAGTTTTTACATAGCTGTGCTCATTGCAGTAATGAACAGTGGCGTAGTGTGTGCGTATTATTTTAGAGAAACCTCTTGGCACTCCTTATTGCTAGAGACTCACTTATGCAGCTGTTGTGAAGGTGTTGCCATTCTACCCAGGGTTTTTGCTCGCATTTACAGCCACTTAAAAGTAAGCCCTGGAGGCATCCAGATAAGATGCCTGAACCAACTCAACAGACTCCTTTTGATGTGAAGGAGCAGTGGTTCTACTGTGAGCCCCTCCACATGTCTGAACTCTGCATTCTATCTCTAAAGCTAAGTCCGGCCACCCTGTGAGGGAAACTCATTTCGGTCACTACCCAGAGCTTGTGACCACAGGTGAGAGTTGGAGTGCAGACTGACTGGTAAAGTGAGAGCTTTATCTTTCAGCTCAGCTTCTTCTTCATCACAACGGCCCAGTACAACATCCACATTACTGCTGATGTTTCCCTTACCCCCCCTGTCAATCTCAGGCTCAGTTTTACCCTCACTCATTAACAAAACCCTGAGATACTTAAAATTCTTCACTTGGGGCAGCAACTCACTCCCAACCCAGAGGGAGCACTCCACCGTTTTCCAGCAGAGTACCGTGGCCTCAGACTTGAAGGTGCTAACTCTCATCCCTGCTGCTTCACACTCAGCTGCAAACCGTCCCAGTGTGTACTGTAGGTCATGATCTGATGAAGCCTGAGATCCCCAAACCAGACACGCTCCTCATTTTTTTGTGTAAATCATAGAAAAGGTGGCGGGAAGCACTGCACAGGGCAGCTGAGCACCTTTGTGTTTAGAAGTGGGTGTGTACACTTTAAAATGAACTAAACCACAGAGCAGAGCAGAATGTGGCCTCTGCTTCCCCTGGTGGCCAGCAGCGGGATCTCAATTTGAAACACTTAAAGTTATTAAGGGCCTAGTGAGACTGTGAATACAGTTGTATACGCCTTCTGTGGCATTTACCAGGCATGCAGGGGTTGCAGCATGAGACATCCAGCATTCTTGGAGTTTGCCATATACTAGAGAATAAAACTATATCCACCTCTGCTCCACTGATTATGACCATTCTTTTTTAATCTGTCTCTTATGAGCCCCAAAAAGTGCAGTGCTCGTGTAACACCATCCAGTCTGAAGCCAACCTAAAGCTGTGAGCAGTAACCAGCTGTAATGTCAACATGTGGCCAAAGGGGGTCAGTGTTATCACGTTTCTGACCTTTACATCCTCCCACAGCTCTCTGTCTTCAGTCAGGACCCTGGTGGTGTGGAGGGGGGTGGGGGGAACCACCATGGACTGCTGCAGATTGCAAACACACACACACACACATATAGATGAGCAACCAGATGCACAGACAAATCAGAATCAGTACAGGAATTCTACACTGTCTGCCTGTACTTGGCATTCAGATGCTTACATTGATCCAGGGGTGGTTCATAAAGTGAGTGATGCTCATTCTCTCATTAGGGTCTGTCTTCAGCAGCTGGTGGATCAAATCTTTTGCTAGGAGAACAAAGGCAATGCAAAGATGATTACATTATTAGTAATAACACACACACACACACACACACACACACACACACACACACACACATCTTGTGGTTTGTTAAGCTTTTTGGGTCTCAGACACAGACTGTCCTACTTAGCAAATAAAATTATTTGAGAGTGAGCGGGAAAAAAAAGAGCTGATGTTGTTGTTGTTGGTTAGAAGGAGGACAGCAGCTGGCTGTTGTCTCTGAAATCCAGGGCATGTAACATATCTGTTAGACTCTGAGCATGCTCATTTGATGCAGTGTTTCAAAGTGTAGACTTCCAGGAAACTGACAAGAACTAGAGTCACTCAGTCACCATAGGCTACTGTTTGCCTAAACTATAGCTGAACCACATTCCGTGTTGTCTGTGCAATATTTTTGTCAGGGTGCAGTTGATCACGGAGGTTTATGTCTTTGACTAGGTCATTCAGGACACCTGGTGGGTCCAGGTTGCTGCAGCATTACAGTTTTATGGTTTCCTGTGGTTAACAGTGGTGTTGCATGCTTTACAGTGCAGACATGTGCACACTGATGCAGACAAATACAACAGTACTGTTCACATGTCATCACAGCATCATTTTGGAAAGGTTCACTTTGCTGTCCATAATAAAAAATGTCAGGTCATCGTCCTTCAATCAGCTGCAGAACATTCATTTCTACCATCATCTGGTTAAAGGTTAAACACATTAAAAAGAGGGAGTGGCTTGATTACTCAGTGTGACAAGTCTTTGAACCTCTGACTCTCACATGTTTGTGTTGAAATACAACTGAACAAATAATGCATGTGTTGACATATCTCTTTGTGTGCCTTGTTAGATGGCTGCATATGAAATATTTTGCTAAGTATAAAAAATGTAACAGTGTGGCTGGAGACAGAGGTTTAATGTTCTGTTTCTGCCGAATGTGCCCACTGCTGAGAATGTTTTTAAAATCTAAAAATGGAGAGAAAACCAAAAATGTTATAATTAGTAAGCATCAGTGTGGACAGTACTCGTGTGTGAGGGTTTTTCTGTGGAGGTGTTCTCACCTTCCTGTGACACTTCAGCCCACTCTGGGTTGGGGAACTCGTACTGGCCCATCCTGATCCTCCTCTTCATCCCTGGTGAGATGGCCTGGCCCGTGTTGGAGTAAAATGGAGGGAAGCCACACAACCTACAGAGACAAACACAGTCAAACAGACAGACAGAGTAATTTCAGATTCTTAAAACATTCCACCTTCACTTTGTTAGAAGGTATCTATATATATAGACAGTGTGACAGGAAAAAAGATATCGGGATTTTCATATGCTCACACGCAACCACACACAGTACTCACAAGATGTACATGATGACACCCAGAGACCACATGTCACAGGACTTGTCATATTTCTCCGGACCCAAAACCTCAGGAGCTTATTGACGATGACACAAACACACACACAGGAACAGCACACAAATGGAGATTAGGGTTGTACAGTGCAGGCAAAGATGAGTCATCAGCTATAGCGTTTCCTGTTCCTGTAAACCTGAGAGCTAAACCATAGGATAAGACCCTCTTCCCAGGTCTTTCTACAAACAGTTCATCTGTCAGGCTGCCATACATTTAAAGACAATGTAAAGCAACGTACCCACATAGTATGGTGTATAGCAGGGGGTCTGTAGAGGGTTGTGTAGTGTGGTCTCCTTAGCAAAGCCAAAATCTGTTAGCTTAAGGACCCCGTTTCTCTCTTTAGTGGTGTACAGCAGGTTCTCCGGCTAGACAGGAAGGCAGAAGAAAATATGTTTCATATGCTTCATGATTTGGGTGGCAAAACGTACTCACCAGCCACTTTATTAGGTACACCTGTACCATTGTATGCAATTCAGTGCAACATTTCTGCCCTAACATCTGTTGTTTATGAAGCTCAAAATGTTTCAGGTTTTGGTGAAACTATCACAGATGTATATATTCAATTATGTGTTTATTACTGAGGTCCCAGTTAAAGGTGTTGTACTGGACTACATTATATTCAGAGGCGTTCCTAATATTCTGACCCTCTCATCTATGTGGCTGAGGGGGACAAAAATATGGAGACACCTCTAAATATAATGTAGTCCTATACAAAATCGCCTTTAGCTATGATCAAAAACCAAAACATTTTGGGCTTCAGTTCAGTACAATTTTATTTGTATAGTGCCAAATCATAGCAAAAGTCATGTCAGGACACTTCACACACTAAGGTCTCGACCTTACTATTATTAATTATTATTATTATATAAGAACAACCCAACAAATCCCCCTTGAGGAAGGACTTGGCGACAGTGGGGACAAAAAACCTCCTTTAACGGAAGAAACCTCTGACAGACCCCGGCTCTTCATAAACACAGTTGTTAAGGTGGAAGTGTTGCATTGAACTGCATACAATTGTAAAGGTGTACCTAATAAAGTGGCCTGTGGGTGTTGATCTCTGTGCACCTTGATGTCTCTGTGCGCAATGTTAATGTTGTGGAGAAAATCGATGGCCGTGCCAATGTCCCTCATAATCTCAGATGCCTCTGGGAAGAAAAGAGGAAAACACATACTCTCAAACCAGAAGCTATTCAAATATTTCTTAACAAGAGAACAACACTGAACAGGGAATGTGGAAAAACTTGTAATTCTGTCCCTTTTTCTTCTGGGATGTATGCCAAGAGGTTTGCCTTATATCACTCTGTCCTGGGAATAATAATATCTCTAACTTCCTGTGATAAGTTCATCACACGTCACCTTTCTCAGTGAAGGCCTGGTCTCCTCTGGCCTGGATTCGACTGAACAACTCTCCCCCCTCCATACTGGAAACACAAACACACACACATAATTTATAAATTGCACAAACAACACTCCAGGGCATAATGTCACCAATACATCACATACAAATAAAGTGGAAATTTCCAAAAAAAAACAAACAAACAACGATCACTGAACAGAGTTCCCCATTTAGGTGTTTTCTAAAAAAAACAAACAAACAAAGATCACCGAACAGAGTTCCCCATTTAGGTGTTTTCACAATGTGAAAGGTTTCAGCAGTGCAGTGACAACACTTGAGTTGAGGGCTTTCTCCAAAAGCCTTCAGTTTCATGCAAAAAAGGTAAGTGAAACAGAGATTCTGAGAATACTGAGTACGAAGTCCACTTCAGTAAAACAGAGAGGAACAGAATCAAAGGCAGATAAAGGGAAAAGTACAAAAACCCTATTGTTGAAAAGAACCAACAGGGTTTATGTGAAACATTTCACTCTTACAGACACAAACAGTGAAATGACTATTATTAGTTTTATTTGTAGTCTGGACACATATATAAATGTATGACAGTTGATAAAAACCAAATACTGTATAGTACATGACTTTTTATACTGAAAACACAATACCTCTGTTTTGATCACATGCCACGCCTGACAACCCGACCTCACTCTATAAAGGATCAGACACCATCGCCCCCAAAGATGTTATAGTTTCAAAATGAGATATCTATGTTTCCCACTCCTCGTGTTCACCTCCTCACATCAGACAGACGTTTCATGTCTGGTGGCCTGAAACTCTCTCTTCTGCTTCTCAGAAAAAGGTGTTTGCGCTCACTGTGATGTGGATGTGTTTCAGTGTGTGTTAGGTAAGAGTGTACTTTTTGTGGTTCAGAGATTAACAGATAAATGGGATAGATACATGAGCAACTGACTGTAAGCTAAAATGACTAATCGGCACTGGGCTGCACTGCTGTCCCTTCTCTGACCCTCCTGTTGGCGGCTCAGCAGCATGAGATTACTGAGCACACACACACACACACACACACACACACACACACACACACAGTACAACACAAACACTTGCTGTGAAGATGACAACCAATTATGTCACTTTTTAAAATTCCCATGAACAGAGTGCAGTATCATTTCTCTGCCCTCTGTGGTTTATCTCTTTTTCTCTGAAGTATGATTTTTAATTGATACTGAAAGTGGAAAAGAGGGCAATGAAGGTAGCACATACACACACACACACTGTTTAGCACTGTCGCTGAAGTCATCTGGGCTGTTACTATAGACAGTTTGTCATGAGGTGAAGCCCAGATGCAATTCTGTTTGTCTCATCTGAGTGTCAGGTCTTGTGATTAACCTTTAACATGGATGAATGTTCTGCCGTCAGTGGCACAGAGCTTATGCTTTATCATTGTAGACGCACACACACACACACAAAGCTACAGATTGCATAGAAATACAGTATCTGCACATGCTAGATATATTGGAAAATTTGATTTCTATTTAATTCAGAGGAAAATGGCTTCAGTAGTTGGATTTGTAATGTGAGATTTATTTCACAGAGACACTTTTACATCTCTGAGTTATGATTCACTGACAACCTTAACCTCTTCGACATGGTGGAAAAACAAATGCCAGCTGACAGTGTCAGGTTTGCTCGGCCGCTCTGCCTCCCTCACCTTTCCTACTGTCTCTTGCCCCATTACTCTTATCACGTTCACCTGTTCCTCACTCCCTTATCACCAGCTGCACTTGATTAGGTCACTCACTATATTACCCGGTTTCACTCCTCAGTCACTTGCCAGTTCTTTCTAGTCACTAGGCCAACTTTGCTCCATGCGTTTTCATTGTTTTTGTATGTCCTTATCCCCTAGCCAAGCTACTGTTTTGTGTTTCCCCGACGGACTGTTCCTCCGGACCGTGGCTCCACTCTCTCCTCCCAGGCAGGTCAATGCACAGTCGCCTATCTGTTCCACTATTGCCTCCATCTCTCTGTCTCTACCTTCAGTACCACCATCACATAATGTTTTTATTTTTTATTTTTGTTCAATTTATGGCATAAGAAGTAACTATGCATCACTGTTTTCAGAAAATATTGTGCATTTTTTCCATTTCCAAGAGAAACTGTGTTAACATTTGTTCAAATAAAAAATCACCAAAATCTGTTATTTATCAAGGGGTGCCTAAACTTTTGCATAAGACTGTATATATATACCGAAGTCGGCCACCTGGGTCCGCCTCTTTCCTCGTTCGCACTCACTGGTGTGAACGGATCTTAACAGACAGGAGGAACTCACATGCTGAAATGAAACGAATCTTGAATATGTTTGTGTTTAGCCAGAATAAAAGTTTTACAGGAAGTAAATCTACAATGTGGAAATATTAATATTAAGCCTGTGGGTTTCCACTGCCAGATACCAAAAGCCATAGGTTCATATAAACCTATAAAAACCTGGCGGGTTTACAATAAAGTTGCATTTTTAGCTTTCAGTTTATCTGATTCAAGTACTATATGATGAACTCTCTTTATGGCTGTGGCAGTATTTTAGTGAGAGAACTGTTTGTGTGTGTGTGTGTTATAAGTCTTTATTTAGTAGCACACAACAAATGCATAAATTCTAGTGGACACCTATGGAAAGTCTGAGCAGACTGAGTGTAACTTCCTTTTTCTGGTCAACAGAAAGAGAACAGCGCTGGGCCGCTCTAACAACCTTTCTTCAAAACTGGCTAGTTAAAAAAGACACAAATAAATCCACACCATCCTTGTTAAAACCTGCACTGCTGCTGCTGCCACATCAGAGCCAAAGGAAAATGTTTATCTAATCACTGTTCACTTAGAGGAGGAAATAAGAAGCACAACCTTGTAGTAAGATTCATGGCAAAACTTTTTACAGTCATAGTTTTTAATGTTTTATCTGAAAACTACACTTGATATCACCATGTATTGTGACGCAGTATAATAAGGAAATACCTTGAGTGAAAACATTCACAAAAACAACAGGTAGAGCGGTGAAATATGAATCCTACCACTCCATGATGATGAGCAGGCATTTCTTCCCATGATGCATGTTCTCATACAGGCTAAGGATGCGAACGATGTACGGGCCTCCTGATACTCGCCAGTGAAGCTCCACCTCTCGCCGCGCTTTGGGACTGTCGTACAGAATCTACAGAGAGAGAAGGATTAAAACAACATATAATTATGACAAACTGGAAATTAATTGGCATGACTGATAACTTTGATCATCAGTTTGGATTTTTATTGCCTTTTTCTACACTGGTTCAGTATTACAATCGATTCACTTTTGCTGGAATCACAGTGTGTTTAAATAATCATGTTATGGCTCTACAAATTCTTTGTTGTTCAAATTAAGGTTCAGAGCAAGCTGTTATTAAAAACTAAGAAAATTAGTCAATGAAGTTTTTGTTTTACATGTACATAGTATGCAATTTCCATATGATCAAATACAGTAGGTCAAAGATGAAACAACAAAAAATTTAATTATTGGCCATTTTGATAACTGATCAACCATTTTCCAGGCAAAAATGCCCAAGTTTACTGGTGCCAGCTTCTCAAATGGGAGGATATGTTGCTTTATTGTGCTTTATATCATTGCAAATTCAGATTTAGTTGGTCGTGCCTGAGCTTGTCAACATTAGAAAGCAAAGTCTTGGTAATAATATCGTCTATATCATCTCACATCTACAGCCAGATGTTATCCTCATTTGGTTGACAACAAATCAATCATGTTTTCTTACTTTTTCATTTTATTTATGTGCATCAAAGCCAGGCAAGCTGGCCTTCCTACGAACTGAGCTCTCAGACCCCTGGTTTTGAGACAGCACTGTTAATCACTGTTTAGTTATTACTTGGTTGTAAAAATCAAAGTGTACAGCTAGCACATTTTCTATCAGTGAAGAAGCTGAAGGACCAATACATGTACAACTGTGTTTAAATATGAAAAGATACAAAGTAAAACATCAGCATGTATGAAAAGGTTCAGTCCTCACTGACAGGGCAGCGGATGGCGATGTGACAATGTGTTGGCAATCACTTAAGGGCAAACACCGTTCACCAGTGTGAGCCAGGCAGTGTTGTAAAGGCTGGAAGTTGTGTCCAATCAATAAACTGTATCACAACACTGTAATGACAGCATTACAGAGGAGGAACTGAACATTTGGATGAATTTTCCATGTGAGCAAACTGTGAATGCCTTGATCTAACACAGACACCCGACCAGGGAAACAGCGCTAACCACTGTTCAGGTATCCCCGTTACGCTCATATACACAGCAAACTTCACATGTTTTTAAGGAGAAGTCACATCAAAAGTAGCTGAACATGAGAATACACTGCATGCTTACACAGTTCAATCAAGGGAGAATCTGCAAGTTGAAGAAAGTGGACGGTGAGGCAAGAGTCAGCCTGCAGCTGATATGCCACTGACTGAGATTTGGCAATGCTTGAATAGTTAATCCTATTGACAGAGAGGAGTTTAGAAATGTTTCTTCCGGTCTAATTAAACCAACACGGCTATAAAAGCTGACACTTTTAGCTTACACTGCTCCAGAGTCATAGAAGATATCACAACATAGTGTATCTTACTGTACTGGGAGCTGTGCCAGAGGTCACTGGTCTTCACAGCTTCGCTACATCTAAGTCGAGGACACACGTATAATATAGCCCTTAAGTCATCCTTGTCACATAAGCAGATACGCGCGCGCACACACAGACATGCACACACACAGATGGCAGAGACACACACACACAGCAGGTGGCAGATCTTGACATAGCACACGTTTCCCATCATAATGTATTTTTGGGTTTGACAAAAATGGAGTGACCTACGGCCTTTCACAAGGTCGCTGTATGTGTGTGTGTGCACAAAACATACACACAGATCCTTGTGGGGGACTTTCCATTGACTTACATTCATTTCCTGTAGACTTATCCTAACCTTAACCATACCCACTACTTGCCTAACACCTAACCCTGACCCTAACCTTAAACCATGTTGCCACCCTAAAACTCAGCGTTGATTCAGTGACGACCGAGTCCCCACAATGTGAGTGTGTTAATAAGTTCTGGTCCCCATAATGTAAGTAATACAAAGGCACTCACACACACACAATCTGTGTTGTATTACAGGTAACTGTAAAATGATAAAAATGTAAAATGTCATATTCAGGATCGTGGGCAGAAATAAAAGAAATCTAAACATCAGAGACAAACAGCTTGTAACTGACACTGTGTTTCAGCTTGCTCATGTCAAAGAGGAAGTGAGGAATTCAGAGCACGGCCGGGTGTGGAAAGTAGAAGCTGTGGGTTTCCGGTTACTTACTTGTCTGATCTACTACTACGTGCCCTATTTTGTTCACTCCCACTGACTCGAACTCGACTTTGAGCCAAGCAGTGGTCATGTTTGCTTCTTTATGACTTTAATCAGAGCAGAGTATGTTCCCTTAATTTCCTGTAGTGGAAGCGAAACAGATCTGATTAAACATGACTGTGTAGATTAAATACACATATAAAACATTAAAGGGAAGGCAGAGAGATAATTGAGAAGATGAGACACACATAGTTAATCTTCTGATGGACTCTGGTCTCATGTTAAACGACATCATGCAGCCCAAACACAGTCTTGTCCCTGATCCTGTGCTAAACCAATCAACCACATCTCAACACTCCTCTCAACCAGTCAGATCTCTGATTGAACACACTGAGCCACACACATCTTTATCTGACAATGTCCACTGAGTTTAATGGCACACTACTCACCAGAATCACTCTCTTTCCTGAGCACACACACACCTACATTGCTACAACATGTTTGCAGATTATTAACCATTAGATCCTGTCAGAGTGCCGGTCTGCACAGCCTGATGAAAAGGTGGTTTATCTTTACAACTGTAGTAAAATAAACTAGAAAGTGGTCGACTGTTAATCACTAATTAAATCATTTATTGTTTCAAAGAACAAGACTATGAGCGCCTGAGGACTGGCAGATGGTGGTTCCCATTTTTAAAAAGGGGGGTCCAGTTATTGAGGTACTCAGCCTTCCTGAGAAAATCTATGCCAGAGTGCTGGAAAGGAGGCTCCAACAGATTGTCAAACCTCAGATCCAGGAGGAACAATGCAGATTCCATCCTGGTTGTGGAGCACTCTTTACTCTTGCAAGGTCACTGGAGGGATTCTGGGAGTTTGCCCACCCAGCCTACATGTGATTTGTGGACTTGGAGAAGGCCTACGACAGGGCCCCTCGTGGAATCTTGTCAGGGGTACTTTGGGAGTATGGGGTACTGGGGTCTTTGGTACAAGCCATGAGTTCCTTGTATAACTGGAGTGAGAACTGTGTACACTCAGCAAGAAATCAAACATGCTCCCAGTTAGTGTTGGCCTTCGTCAGGGTTGTTCTTGTCACAGATCCTGTTTGTGATTTTCATGGACAGGATTTCAAGGCTTTGCTGGCTTCATCAGATCATGACTTCCAGTACACACTGGGACGGTTTGCAGCTGAGTGTGAAGCAGCAGGGATGAGAGTTAGCACCTTCAAGTCTGAGGCCACGGTGCTCTGCTGAAAAATGGTGGACTGCTCCCTCTGGGTTGGGAGTGAGTTGCTGCTCCAACTGAAGGAGTTTAATTATCTTGGTGTTTTGCTCACGAGTGAGGATACAACTGAGCATGAGATTAACAGGCGGCTAGGCTAGCATCAGCAGTAATGTGGACGTTGTACCAGAACGTTGTGGTGAAGGAGGAGCTGAGCCAAAAGGCAAAGCTCTCAATTTACCAGTCAGTCTACACTCCAACCCTCACCTGTGGTCTTGAGCTCTGGGTCGTGACCGAAAGAATAAGATTTCATATACAATCAGCTGAAATGAGTTTCCTTTACAAGGTGGCCAGATTTAGCCCTTAGCCTTAGAGATAGGTTGCGGAGTTCTGACATCTGGGAGAGGCTCAGAGTAGAACTGCCGCTCCTTCACATCAAAAGGAGCCAGTTGAGGTAGTTCAGGCATTCAGGGGGCCTCCCTCTGGAGGTTTTCTGGGCACATACATCTGGTAGGAGACCCGGGGGTAGACCCAGAACACGCTGGACAGATTTTATATCTTATCTGGCCTGGGAATGGCTCGGAATCTTGCCAGAGAAGCTGGAAAACATTTCTGGGGACAGAGATGTCTGGACTACCCGATCTCAGCTAAGCAGAAGAAAATGACTGGATGATTGGAAGACTATGAGTTTACAGCCATGCTAGCAGCTCTGTAAGACTTTACTTCAGCACAGCAGTGCTTTTAGCTAAATTCTAATGTCAACATGCTAACATGCTAATGTTTAGCAGCTAATGTACCATGTTCACCACTGTAGTTTAGCTGGTCAGGATGCTAGTATTACCACAATTACCACAAACAAGAAAGTACATTGCAGGTGGAAGGGAATGTCTGACCTAATGAAACATTAAAGGATCACCAATGTTATTACAGTTCCTTCTGAGAGGGACAAACTGAGATACTGTATCAGTCTGGTGAACCACCCAGCACCTGAAGTGACATCTATTTGCAGTATAAAAAAACATAAAATATCAAAGAGGCATCTGAAGCACTCTACAGTCAAGTATGAAAAACACCCAAAAGACATTTTCCATGACAACGCTACAGTGACTGTCCCTGCTAGGCAATAAAAACATCAGGTTCCTCCTTGTTGTTTAAGCTAAAGATGACAGCACAAATACAACTTGCAGCTCTTTTGAGTACAACAAAGATCCTCAACCACAAAGGTTAATCAGGTTAAAACCCCAGTCCATTCAAGATGACCTCTCAACACGTCAGCACTGCAGCGTTTCCTCTGTGCTACAATTCAAGCTGATAATTACACAGCAACAGCTGAAGCCTGAGAGTCAATAGAGATATTTAGGACCAAACCTCTCAGACTGATTAACTTGTTTAACGGCACTGGAGCCGACTTGCCTGAGATCTGAGTCTAGTTTCTAAAAACTGAGAGCTCTTCCATGCAATCTCTGACTGAACCACAGAGATTAAAGATAGGGTTTCGCAGAGGAAACCCAGATGTTTCATGAGCATGCCAGTGGGCTAACCACACAGGTGAACATACACAAGCACACTGAAAAAAAGATTTTGACTGTAAATAGAAGCATGTAGCTCATACAGTGTGCTACAAGTCATATGCTAATGGAACAATCACTATCAAACTGTGTGCTTATTCCCAGCTAGTGGCGGTGCTCAAGACGCCTGCCAAGCACCACAGGGCTCCCTCAGGTCTCTCAGGTCCCACTGCTCCTAGGAGTCATACAAATCCAAGTTAATAAAATCTTGATAAGAGTAACCAAATTACAGCAAAACGATGGCTCGCATCCAGTTCTGCTTCAAAGTGGATTAAACCTATTCTCATTGATTACACCTAGAGCTCAGGGCAACACTTAATTAAAAGCCAATGAGCCAGTCAACTCTCCTCACACCCCTCCACATCCAACACTATTCTTTCCTTTTGCTGTCTATTTGGCTTGACATTAAAAACACAGCGGAACTTGCAAATTAGCTTAAATGGCAAATTCTGATCTTTTGTTCCTTTGTCATCTCTCAAACCTTATAACAGGTTTTTCAGAAAGGCTTCAGAGACTGAGTGTGAGCTTCACCTTGTGGCGGCTGAATTCTGTCAGGTATCAGGTGAAGCTGTTCTGGGGACACTCAGCCGTCTTGTGACTACATATATTCACAGCAAAGGTTCTAATAAAACACATTCTTGTGTAAAGAGCTCAGTGTTTTCTCACAGATTCGGCTTGTTTCCCCAGAAAAATCTCAGCTTCAGTTCAGCAAGTAGGAATTTTCAGCAGCACATATTGTTTTTGTTCTGTTGTGCTGCCTTTTCAGAGCAATAACTGTATTTTGTTTTCTGACATGATGCTGCCAAACACCATTCACCTCTTGGTCTTTCATCTTTTGTTTGTAACTTCATATTTTCTGTTGCTCTCATTTTGTGTTTCTCTTTATATCTCACAGTGTACAGCTCTCTGTGTGACACTGGTGCTGTCTGGTTTGGCAGCTCAGCTCCAGATGGATTACTGTAAGGCAGTAACTCTCTGAGTGTATAATCCAGCGGTGACAGGTGACAGCCTGATGGCCCATGCATGTGAGCATATGTGCTAGAGTTTCCACTGGTGTCAGAAAAAGGTGTCATCATCTCATATGGATGGGTGACCATGCAAACCTGGAACTTGCATCTGATCCAGCAAGAGGCCGAAATTCCAGGAAACACAGCTCTATGATCACATCCAGCCGATCTACGTGCAAAGCATGTGAGCCCGGTGGGCAACGTGTACAGTACATGTCAAACCCAAAGTGAACAGCAGGAGCTAGCTCAGACACACATGTACACAAGTCAGGTTTTCAAGACACACACTCACACACATAGGCAGTGTGAGACTACATCATGTACGATGACTGAAGAATTATTCAGCATCACAAAGATCGTTTTTGAGTCACCTTTGAAAAGGAGTCTCCCTCCTGTTTGTCTGTGAAACAAACCTGACCTCCCTAAAGCTAAAGGTTCTTCTAACTTGGCTACGGTGTCAACCCAGTTTCTACCTCTCCTGCCCAAACATGTATTAATATCAAGATGAATGAATTTATTAAGGTGGCAATAATACTTTCACACAGATGCTATTATTTTTAAATATATAGCCTTGAATTGTTTAAATGTAAAGGAACAATCTGAACTAAATTTAAGCAAAATTTAAAAAATTGGACATGTTCCAGTTATTCCAAGTTGATTAACCTGTTTAGACACTATAGACAACAACTGCTATTATTTTTAAACTGTGAAATATAGAATTGTACCAAAAATATTTGTGTATATAGGATTTTATGGTCATTTGCTAAACACCCACAGAGCTTATAAATCTGTAATTACACTAGGAATGAGTACAACATTAGTGTACACAGGTTAAAGTAATTGGTGGGCCAGCTGAAGTTTATTTATGAGGAGTATATTCTGATCTGAACTGGTCTATCTTCTCCTACCTAGTTTATAACATAATCCTAAGTGTCAGGTGACTTCTTCAGTACCTTCAATGCGCACTTCTCTCCAGTCTTCTTATTGAAGCACTGTAGGACTTTGCCATTGATCCCTAAGCCCAGAACCTGAGTGGAGATCTTATAATCGTCCGTCACCGCGTTGCGTTTTATGTCCAGTTTGGGATAAACCGGCGTGAGCAAGTGTGTGGGCTCGGTGTCGGCGTCCTTTCTGTCGGTGGCCGGGGGATCGGGCTGCTGCTGTATAGGGCTGTCCGGCTCTGCCTCGGCTTTTGGCGCTTGCGGTTGCTCCTTCCCGTTTCCATTTTGTAGCATGATCACGCCGGTGTTTTGTCACCAGCGGTGCCCAGGAGAAGCGTGAGTAATTCACCAAAGTAATGCGATGACTCCCGCTGGTCTCCGGTAACTGCGTAAGAGGAATCCTCTGGTGTGTCTGGCTGCCCTGGGCGCAGAGGCTCCTGTGGCTACTCCCCACTGATTCTCTAGTACAGCTTATAAAACAAAATGAATTTGTTTACACTACACAATTTCTTCTCACTGAACTTGTCATTTTTTAAGAATTGGTCATTCATTGATTTTACCAGCCGAGGCTCACTGCTCGGAGAAATCCAAACGATTAAGCGTAATTAAACCAAAATGAAATCCCAGTCACAGATGAGGCGGTGAGTAGATTCTGTTGGTTCAGGTGATGTCTGTTCCCGCTGATCTGGAGTCCCGTGGTTGTATTCACATGGCCAGTCACTGTCACCAACTGTGTGTTTAAGTACCACCCTCCTTCAGTTAAGTCATATTTGTCAACTGGCCCTATGTGCTTGCCTTAAAGGAGCAGGATGTATATTCACTTCAGTGCTCAGCGTGGTGGACAAATTAGGCTTGCGCTTGTCTCATAAGAGGCAGAAAGGACAGTAGATTTAGAGCAACAATATTACAGTATTTTATGGAGAAAACCATAGAACTGGATTCCTCTGACCAGTTTGTTTTTGTCAAAGTAAATAAATGATAATACCACATGAGTGTTGCCTTGTGCAAAACTGTTTATTACACAGACCACCAATCACTGTGGGCTGTAAAGCACAGATATAGAATAAGGCATGGTGGCATAAGACAAAGTGAGTGTGTGTCAGTTTTCAGTAATCCAGTGCGCATATGAGAGCGACTCCTCGTTTGATCCAGTGGCTCTGGCTCTGATCTGTAGGCAGCTCCACTGCCATCACGTAGTTGGTGGAGTGACCGGTGGTGGAGAGTGTCCCTACAAAAGCACACAAAACAGTTCAGTGGCACAAAAAATTAATTTAAAAAGTTTGTATTTTTCCATCCATGCATTGAATTAAGTGTTTCAGAGCAGTCTAATGTCTTGGCCATGTGGGTGGAAAACACTGAGCTGTGCTTTCCCATGCTTCATGAAACGAGACACTGCAATCTATTTTGGGTGAGTAATAAAACCACCAAAATATGATTCAGACAAACACTAGAGTGAACACCCCAACACCTAGGGACAGGGTTTATAACCCAAGCACCTACACAGACTTGGGTTAATCCATTTCTTTGACCTCATTTATTTAGTTAAATTTATTAATTACACACTAATATGCTTGTTGTAGTATAAGCCAGTCGTGTTCATAATTGTGTGTACTGACCAGCCCGTGTGAGCGTCTTGTAGATGGGGCAGATGTAGACCCCAGAGGTCGGAGGTTTGCGGTTGGGTTTGGGGATCAGCCAGATGACAGCCATCTCTGTGTAGAGCTCCTTGGGCCTGGACTCTGTGAGCTGGCCTGCCCTGATATCCCAGCGAGCCCCCTCCAGGAAAAGACCATGAATGTAGCAGCCCGTGTTTGGTTTCTGTGTTATCTCTGACACTGATGCCGATATTACCTGAGAGATTGTAGTTGATAGATACCATTTAAAATCAAGTTTCAAAGCAATTTTAGAAAACAAATTACAGTGTACCTTTATATTCATTAATCAATACTTTAAATATGTGATGCTATAACAAAGATAAGCAAGAAAGAGTGGCAATGACACACACTGCCAGACATACAGCATACAGGCTGACCTCAAAGTCAAATCCAATTGTGTCAATAGAGATGCCAGAGCAACGGGCGTAATTCTGGAGGGTTCCAGTGAGAAAAGCCTGAGGGAAAAAGAAGCCGCTAATCCAGAAGACAGGTGGAATGCCTGTAGAGATCCATCTCCGCAGGAAACTGATCCTCTGAAGCAGGTCTGACACCCATGAGGCCAGAGGCTTCAGGGATGGGTAGGCCTGGAGGGAGAGAGAGACAGATGGGCAATGCAAAAAGTAGAACATGGATATCAAAATATTAGCTGAGCCAAAACATCTCAGTATTCTGTGCTTTTGCATTCTGCATCTCTCTGTGCCTGTGGATACTGAGTATTCACTGGTATGTCTATGTCTTGCCTTGGCTTTCCACTTATCAGGCACCATGTTGTTGAACAGGCTGTTGGACATAAGCTCCAGATCGGATGACATCACCACTAAACCTTTCAGAGCTTTCAAAATATCACTGAGACTCTGAGAGATGACTGCCAGCAACTTGTTATATCTGGAAGACAAAACATACAAGGAGCAATTAATTTAGGTTCAAGGTTCCAGGATTTTATTGTCAATTCACCATACGTATGTGCAGGACACACCTAGTACTGGGTGCCATAACATTTAGGAACTAAAATAGAATACAGTAGAATAAAAATAGAATAGAATAGAATAGAATAAGAACTGGATTGATGTAATTAGGAGAAAGCTAAATGGTACAGCCAATAAGCTGTGACTCAAAACCGTGTACAGCCAGTGACAGTAGTGCAAACAATAACAGGAGATTGTCAGATGGTTCAGCATCACCAGGGCGTTGGTGTTGAGGTGCAAATAGCATATGAGGTATACATAGACAGTATTGCAAATGACCAACAGCAGCAGATTTACATATAACAGATTATAAAACAGCAGAGGTAGTTTTTTGTTTCCACAACTGGGTTACAGTCCACGGGCAGGGGGGTAGTGGGCAGTGTTCAGCATCCTCACAGCCTGGTGAATTAAGCTGTTTGTAAGTCTGGTGGAGTGGGAATGAAGACTCCGATACCTTCACCCTGAAGGCAGGAGTCTGAAGTGGGAGGTGCTAATGTTTAGTACTAATGATTTAACCTGGCAATATCTCACTGAGTACTGCTCAGATTACTGCAGTTCATATAATTAAAAGGTCATGTATATGACAATGCACACAAATACATAACAATTCTAAATCATAAAATGGAGTAAACATGTAAATGAAATATTTAAAGAGTTCCCTCTTATGGCCCAACATGATTTAAGTAGAAATAACCTTTCCTGTTGTTACAGTTTGATGTTAAACAAATTCAGTTACAAATCTAAATAAGTAATAAGAAAATTACTAATAAGTTACTATGGCCAGAAAAAGTTCATAAAAGTTAAATTAATAGCCGTATGCTAAACCTGACCAAAATACTTTCACAGATGAACAAACTGAGAAACTCATGAAAAAAAAGTCAAACAGCAGAGACCTGGTTTTTAACATAAACTAACTCACTTCAAGAATAAACGTACGTAGCAAAGCCCTTACTGCCTCATAGTATAAAAAGGAACATACTGTAGGTTTTCAATTCACCATGTCTCAGGAAATAGTTGCAATCACAAGTTATTTGATTTTCTCATGTTTATTTGTTTTGTTTGCAGTGGAACAAAAAAGCAAAGGAAAAAGCCAAACCATTCCACACTGAACTCTAAAAATGGACTGGACAGAATTATTGACACCTTTTAAAAATCATCAGAAACAGTTGTATTTCATGCATGTAATGCTTCTTAAATTTGTAATGAAACTCACCTGTAGCAACCAACAGATGCTGGTGGTATAGATATCACACTTGCAACCAGTTAAAATAGAGAAAAGTTGACTCAACCTTTGTATTGTGTGGACCACACTGAGCATGGAGAAAAGAAAGAAGAGCAAAGAAATGTCTGCGGATTGAGAACCACAACAGTGGAAAAGCCTGGACAGTCTCGAGGCTCCAAGTCCATCTCCAGAGATCTGGCTGTTCCTGTGTCCACTGTACGCAGCATTGTCAAGATGTTTACAGCCCATGGAGCTGTAGCTAATCTCTCTGGATGTGGATGAAAGAGAAGAATAGATCACAGATTGCAACAAAGGATTGTTCGAATGGTGGATAAAGAGCCTTGATCAACGTCCAAACAAATCCAACCTGCAGGCACAGGGTGCAACAGTATCAGCTCACACTATCTGTCGCCATCTGAATGACAAGAGGCGCTATGGTAGGAGACCCAGGGGGCCCAGTACTGACACAGAGACATAAAAAAAAGTCAGACTGGAGTTTGTCTAAACTTACCTGAGGAAGCCACAGTCCTTCTGGGAGAATGTCCTATGGACAGATGAGACTAAAATAGAGCTTTTTGGTCGAGCACATCATTCTACTGTTTTCAGAAAATGAAATGAGGCCTTCAAAGAAAAGAACACGGTCCCTACAATCAAACACAGTGGAGGTTCACTGATGTTTTGGGGTTGATTTGCTGTTTCAGACACTGGATGTCTTGACTGTGTGTGTGGCTTTATGAAATGTGAAGAGTACCAATGAATTCTGGGACACAATGTGGGGCCCAGTGTCAGAAAGTTGGGTCTCCGTCAGAGGTCATGGGTCTTACAGCAGTACAATGACCCAAAGCAGACTTCAAAAAGCACCAGAAATGGGAGAAGGATCCCTTCAAATCAGAGACCTGGAGAAGGGTGGTCCAAAATTCCAGTAGAGAGGCAGACGAAACTCACTGATGGTTACAGGATGCGACTGATTTCAGTGATTTTTGTCCAAGTTGAGGATGTCAATAATCCTATCCAGTCTATTTTTGGAGTTCTGTGTGGACTCCATCAGATTTGGCTTTTTTCCTGTTTGCTTTCTGTTGTTCCAATGCAAACAAAATAAACAAACATGAGAATACCAATGAATTTGTGATTGCAAAAATGTTCTGGGAGAAGTGGTGAATTATCTGAGAGAAATGAAGGGGGGCTGATATTTTTGGTCATGACTGTATATCAAGGAGTGGGTTGGACAGCCTAGTGTTACCTGATGACCTCCTGGATGAGCACTGTGTTCATGGACTCTTCATAGAGGACCGGGTACTTTTCCATCACCTCCTGAACTCTGAAAGGCTGAGGGATCTTTTCAACAATGCCCACCACTATCTCCTCCACGATCTACAGTACAGGAAAAGACAGATCATTGGTGGTATATTAAATATCTCGGCCTTATTCCAAGCATTTTAGAAAATGTTGTGCATCCAGCTTTTTTCCCGTCACAGGCGACTCAACACTCTTTTGTATAGTATGATCAGCTAATGGTGAAAATGATGGTGTTTACTGTTGTGCCACACCTCCCAACTTGTATTTAGTCCAACAAATAAAGACAACAGAAAAACAAACAACATCCAACCAGTCAATATTTGTACCTCCTCCAGAGTTTTGCCGCCAGCAGACGCAGCTCGAGGCTGGAGAAAAAGGACATCTCCCAGCAGGGCAAAGGTCTCATTCTGGGCAAAGCTGATGTTAGCGTTGTCGTGGAGACCAAATATCTCAGGTGTATCATTGATGGGCAAACCACGGATGTATGCCATGTAGCCCTAACGTCAAAATTGCAATGACAATGAGTCACTCACTAACACCAGCTGTCATCAATCAGTTTGATAGTCAGGAGTTCAGGAGTTAATGTGGTTTTAATGTGACTCTCGACATGCTACAACATATTTTCAGCCATTCAAGAAATGTCAAACAAATCTTATTCAGAACCTGTGGTCCTGTCCAGAGTCAACACATGCACCATCTATACCTGGATAACTGCAGATGCATCTAGTTGTCTTATTTCTTTCACCATGACAAAGACTTACACTATCACTTCACAAAAATAAAACCATTTTATGGTATTGTGAATTCATTAAAAAACAAACTCAAACATGTTTTAAGTGATCATATAGGGGGTGAGTCAAATATATGACAAATACTGTCCTGGCGTCTTGAAATAAGTTATCAATATACAGTAATAGGTCCAATATTGCAGCAAGATTTATGACCCGCATTTCAAGTCTGGAACTGGCAGTTCAACTTCTTTGCACTATATGGCTGCTTTATATTGGAATGATGATATACTGTACACTACAAGGATATTGTCATGTGTCATAGATGAAAGTCTTGCAATGTATCACTTGTTTAAGATGTAATTATGTAATACTAATTCCCAACTCTATAATATATGGTTTTGAAGTATACCAACTGATGCAGACAAAGGTCAAGTTTAATGCGCTGCTCTTATCACAACCTTCTGAATCCCCCTGCATTTATCTAACCTTGATATCATGTTTTGTGTCTATCTGCCGGTAGACCCCAGACGAAGAGTAGATGTGATCATTAATAAGAACATCAGGACAGTAGAAGTCTTCCAGCACACTGAGGAGACATCGTCTGTCCCAGTTATCTGTCACACGGCCACCATAATTAATCTCCCCTGCGGTGTATTTTAGGACCTGGACAGGTGGAGGGTGAAAAGAAAAGACAGTTAGAAGCGCATGCACAAACACACACATATATTTTCTGGCTGAGGTGAAAAGTTTCTTATTAAAGGGCCTGTGATCATGTAAGCATATACCTTAATTAGCAGCAGTAATAAAAAAAACATTTCACAATAAAATACATAACAATAACTGTGGGCACCTTGTATGGGATGTCCTGGTACTCGTCCAGGAACATTTTAAGTTGACTAATGCAGATGTTCAGGTCACCGTCTGTGAACTCGTAGGGTATGTTGAAGCCTAGAGGGCCAAACTTCCTTCGCTCCAGAGCAATTCCATGGAACAGACACAGAGACAGGAGCAAAGACTTGAAGTTTGTTATCTGGAGAGAATGAAGAGGAGAACAGAGGAAAAAGTTGAAGATATTAATACACACAAGATGTTCTCAAGAATAAAACTGACTCAAAGAGGCAGATATTCTAGTAACTGACTGCAGGAACTGACAAGGAGGTAAATACAGTGGTGTGAAAAAGTGTTTGCCCCCTTACTGATTTCTTATCTTTTTGCATGTTTGTCACACTGTAATGTTTCAGATCGTCAAACAAATTTATATATTAGTCAAAGATAACACAAGTAAACACATCATGCAGTTTTTAAATGAAGGTTTTTATTATTAAGGGAAAACAAAATCCAAAACTATAGAGCCCTGTGTGAACAAGTGTTTGCCCCCCTGTCAAAACACTGGTTTATCGCACCTGAGTTCAATTTCTCT